GATCATGAAAATGTATGTTGTATATGTTTTATTTATTGGTCAACTTGTAGACACGTTATTGTTAGCTGGCAGCAAAAAGTTTCCCTGATGAAAATCAGATGACAGAGATATATGTGCATTATGATGAAATAGATTATGATAATAAAAAAAGAGAGTTTTATGTATCAACCAGATTGCATCTATTCAGTTTGGATTCCATTTTTTTGGCTGACTTCTGGAGTTAATCAGTTACTTGAACATCCTCGTTAACGTCAAGGGCACTGGATATCTTACATGTACATATGTGACGCGATCAAGCTTAATGAGTCATTTGTCGGGATTTTTCATTTGAAGATTCAGGCCAAAATAGGGGCACTTCATCACATCACATCTCTTGGTGTTCCGACCTCCATAATTTTTTAACCAAAGATGGTATCAGCATGTGGTTTTCACAGCAGTAATGCTGAGATTGTGCTCTTTTCAAATCTGTAAAAAAAAAAATTGACCAGGGTCGATAAACGACTCATTTAGCTTGATCGCATCACATATGGTGGCATTGTTACGTTCTAACTACATACCATTGCATGATCCCAACTAATTATTGGTGAGATTTTTTTAAATATAGTTAGGATTACAGTATATACCTCAGCCACAGATTATGTATCTTGATTGGCCAAGAGCGAGTCACATGGCATTCGCTATTTTTCCTATCATTGCTGTGCACAGCCCAAAAATTATACGACGGCTGAAAAAGTACTACATTTATACCTCAATCAATTTATACAAATAGCTATCAATTTCCATGTGGGCCCATCAACATGCTAGTGCTACAGATCTGGGCTCAAATATTTCATGAGGGGCAGTTTGGTGCGAGTAAATATTTAATATAATTTCTTATTAGAAAAGACATACATTTAAGTGGGTTTTGGTTAAAAAATAAGTTACATTATATATCTCTTAGCATCAACCATAAAGTATTTCTTAACATTTGTGGGTGAGGCATCATAAAACAAATGCTGACTGCTTTAACTCGTGGTGTAGTAAAACTTGTCTCCATCTGTGATTCATGGAGCATTCTCCCTCAGCTACGCTGCGGAAAACACAACGCTCCATGGATCACCGTCCACGACTCAAAAGCATTTAACATTAGTATACCATCCCAAGTATAGTTGGTGCAATTAGTATAGTTTGGATGCAGCTGCACTGTTGTTGAACACTCAAGAACCGCAATGTACCATTCCAAACTTGGCAAGAATCCCTGCACAACTGGTTTATGTACATGTACATTTCTCACAGTCACGGTCCCCATACAAATCATATGACCAAGTTACATGACCAAATGTAATGAGCTAATTGGTCAATGTGCACTGATTGACGGCTAGAAAAATAGCAAATTAAATAAATTCTATTATCTGTGGTGAAACTTGAAAATAGCACAGGGAAAACTTTTTTTGTGGACTAAAAGGGGCCTCTATATTTCCGCCTCACTGACTGAGTTTGAGTATTCCTTACTGGGACTAGTGCATCCAGTTCAACTTTGCAAGCCAAGTCTGCTTTAAAAAATAACAAAAATCATGTGTACAGTCCTGGTCACTGAACTTGTTCAATATTCTTCAATTCCACTGGACATACATGAATATTCACCTCTTATTGGTCATATAAATAAAACCTACACAGACAATGACTGACAGCATGTTACAAATCAATAAATTACAAAAATTTACATGTACAGGATTTGTCTTGATAAACTTGTTCAGAAATGCAATAAATCAGAATAAAGACTAAAGATCAGTAAGGACTGCATGAAATTGTAACAGATTAGAAGTAAATCCCCCCAATTATCCTCACCAATGAATTTTATCAACCTGATCCCCCCCCAAAAATAAAATGTTTCCTGCTTACCCCCCCCCCCCACACGCCTTCCATCCCCACTAAATATCTCACCATTTTATCCTCCCCAAATGACCTTCCCCAAAAGTAATTGGGACTCTACCATGTACAACCACGTTTCACACACAAAAACAATAATATTAATCACCATCAAGTCACCCTACCCCGTTATCTAATCAACAAACTTCCACATAACACCCCCCAATCCCTGCGACCCGCCTACAATGCTTGCAAGTGCTTCCCCCGACTTGTTACAAACAGCCAGTGCCAGTTAAGCAGTGCAGTGCCACTGTACTACAGTCGACTCTCGTTAATAAGAGGTCCTTGGGACTTTACAAATTCCCTCGTTATAACGGGAACCTTGTATTATCAGGAGTCGAAAACAAAGAAAACATAAGAGTTGGGACCAACAATTTTTCCTTGTTATAACAGGAACCTTGTATTAACAGTGCTGTTATTAATGAGGTTCGACTGTTATCACAAATTGTTGAAAGTTGACTGGATTGACATGGACAGCCATGAAGCCATGTTGCAGCTCAGTACTTTTTTCCAGTCCCCAAAATGAAACATGAAATACATGTATGAGGCAGTTTGGCGGCAACCTTGCCCCAGGGTGTTGAGCAGTACGCGCCGACCACTACCTGCTCTCTCACCCTAGTATTGGATCATTTGCATATGTGCAAAATTTTTGAACACGTATGCAAATGAGGAATAGTCTAGTGCCTGCCCATGTGCGTTACGTTAGCGTTTGTTTTTGTATGCGGTGTCTGGGGTAAACGCACAATCAATTCGTCGCTCCGTGAGTTACGAAAACACGATTGTTTTCAAAGTTAAAATGTTACAGTCTTATCCCGGCAATATGCAGTATCACATTTCATATTAATATGAGCAAATTGGAAATGAAAAGGAGTATTTCTGAGAAGGCGTGGACATTATAATTACAATGATCATGAAAACACGTAATGCACGTTGGAAATAACAACACCAACTACATGATATAAATCCATTACTAGCAAATAACGGTAGCGAATCATCTAGGGCACAGGAAGAACGTTTCCTATCCAGGGCTTACTATTGGAAACGAGGTTTGAAATAAAGTAAGCACTGGGGACGAGGTTGGTATGGTAGGAATCGAGACCAAGCACCCATGCTGTGTTGACTGAGTACTTCTAATGTTGAGGAATTCTAGTCTTTGGACACACAGCCGACTTTTAGATTCGGGTCATTTGTATCACAAATTTAGGGTCCAATTTCCTGTCCTAGTTACTCTGAGCTCTGTAATTCGCCATTCCAGTATCATTAACCCTAAATTTTAAAAGGTATAGAATGACCCATATTTATGCAAGAAATCTAAGAACTGAGACTCGAGTACGAATCTTAGTCCCTTTGCACAATCTTGGACATTTACAGCATACCTTTTTGTGTGTGCAAAAGCTCAGTTTCCTACCCATAATCACAGAACCAAATACATGTATTTGGAACACTCTGTAAAATCTCATGATTAATGTGTGGGCTTAGATTCAGTATTCTTGTTGGACTTGGGAAAAAGGCTCGATTACAAACACACTTAGAAAGTACATAGAGTGTACTCAAGGGATATCATGGCAATGTTGCCATAAAACAGGTACCTTGGAAGCACTGCATGGGCGTCACGAGGGGGGGGGGGGAAGCAACACACACACAAAAAGGAAGAAAAAAAGGAAGAAAAAAAGAGAAAAAACAAAACAAAAAGAGGCGCTAAGTCATATTGGTGCAAAATGTCCCTGCCCCCCTCTAAAACTGATAAATCAAGAATATGTTGAGAAATACAGGAATTCTTTGGGAAAAATATGTTTTGCCCCCCTCTAGAAAAAATCCTGGCGACGCCCATGAAGCACTGCAATCAACCACAGACAGAAGAAGAAACTATCGGTAGGGTACACTAGGGTAATATTCCTGTCCGTCTCCCCCCTCCCTATTCTTTACTGAAATGGGCCAGAGAACCTTTAAACGATTTTGGCCAGCTCAGGTAGGATAGAAGAATTGAAGACAATGTCAAAAACTTGAGGAATGGGAGGAAAACCCTTCAGATTTGAATGTTAGGACAAAGAAATGCAATCATGCATGCATCGTACATGCACATACATGTACGTATGTATGTATACGACATGACTGAACCAATGCACACCACATAGGCCTACCAGTACAGTATAAACTGGAGGAAAGGTCAGAAAGATGCATTGCTTTCTATACTTACAATGCCTTTCCACTAAGATTCAAAAAGCCAGATTTCAGACAAAAGTTTGAAAAAAAAGCTCAAGCTTGACAGTATTCTGGAGATCACAGGTTCAACACAAGAAGTTGTACTAGTGACATCCAAATGCTTTTTATCGTGAATAAAAGAAATATACATGTTCATGTAAATATATTTCTAAATGCACACTGAATGCTCCCAGAAACATAATCAAACACTGGCTGTTATGAGTGGTACAGAATACAGACAAGCTGCCTCAGTTGACTAATGTGAGCACTGACGTTTTCCCACAGGAAAGTCGAGGGAAGATTGGACGTTCCATGTATGGAGGTAGATTTACTGTACCGTGAATGAATTATTCAATACAAATCTCTGGATGAGGTGATATAAGCACACTTTACCTAACAATGGGCCATAATTAACATTCCATTTGAGTAACACTCTGTAAAATTTCATGCCTTTGATCGCTATACAAAATAACCGCTGCACAAACTTTTCCAGGGGATCCATACTGTTTTACACAAAAAAAAAAATCAAGTCTCCTACAGTGCAGTGATTTCAGCTTCTGTCGCGTGGTTTTATCCAATACTTTAACGGAATCTCATGCATTAACCCTAACCCCTTGAGCACTTTACTAGGAAGTATCCCGAATCCGCCAAAATCCACCAATTTTTTTCATGCAAAAATATGCTGATGTCCATCAGAATCCACCAGTGTAGTACACGTACCTCGTACACACCAAACATATAGCCAAGGAGTTAAAATGTTGAGATCCTGAATCCATCAAAGTCCCCCAACTCCTCAATATGGAGGTATCCCGAATCCACCAAAATCCTGCAGTTCCGCTAGGCTTACTGTCCTGAATTTATCAAATCCCCCAACTTGTTCAATATGGAGGTATCTTGAATCGAAATCTTCCAAACAGGGGTGTGGATTTTGATGGACTCAGGTACATGTAGGTTAGGGTTATTAGCTACATGCACGTGTATCCTCAACATCTAGAGTACATGTACATGTAATATTTGTTAAGATTTGTTTTTTTTTCAAATACAAAACAGAGCACATCTTAGCTAAAGTTGCCTTTAAAAAACAAGTGACGGTAGGCACAGCTTTTGTTGGTTCATAAGTGGAAAAGTTTACAAAACCCAGCCTCAAATAAATTATTATATTATTACGCTAGTGATGACCTGATGATGTTTAAGTTTTGCGCGTTTTCTTGGACACGATCTCTGCAAACCCGGCACCTTCACCCTCATCTCTACTGGCTTCCTTCCGCTTCATGCTCCCCGCTCCGCTGGCCACCTCGGGCAGCAGGTCAAAGTTCACAGTGTATCGATTCACTCTCTCCTCCAGTAAGGCCAGCCGGCGTTCCTGGCTGACTAGGCTCTGGCACTGTTCGGAGACTTTGTTGCGGAGTTCGGTGATCACTTGTTCCTGCTGCAGGATCTTCTGGCCCTGCTCAGCGATCAGCTTGCGGTGGGCCACGCACGTGTTGATTTTGCGGGACAGGGCCGCGGTGAAGTTGTCCCGCTTCTTCAGGCTCGTCTTCAGCTCCATGATCTGCTTGAAGATGTTGTTGCTTGGAAGAACTGTGTGTTTACAAGAGTCAGAGAGAGAATGACATTGTTAGCATGCACTGTATATGTAAACTTCTACCTCTGACCTCAAGTGACAAGCAATCAAGCATCACCTTATAACAATGCAAAGTAATGCAGGTTGGACAGGGAAAGATCGCGCGCACGCTGTACATGTATACAGTGCGCACGCGATCCGACAAACTGACGAACAGCATACAAACAGTGTGAAGAACAACCTGCTATTAGAGATTTTGTAATTTGACAAACTGACGAAAACGTTTACGATCAAATAAAACATATCGCACAACTTCTCTGATTAAATAAGTAACCTGATGGATACTATACGCTTCCTACTTAATGTACACCAAAAGGGTTATTATCGAAACATAAAGGGTAAAATACAACGCCTAGAAAAATGTCCAAATTCAAATGCGAATTATCCTTGAAACAGGGTTTTCGATTTTTCGTCGGTATGTCAGCTCTGCGATGATATATGCACATATGTACTTTCAACATGACTCATTGCTGATGGGTCAAATGTCTTCAGCAGATAATAAGCAAGGGCACGACAATTCAATATCCAAGCGATCAATTTAGGAAATGTCTAAAAATAATTTGGAATTTTTTTATGCTATTACCATAGCTCGATGCTATTATCATCCATTCCAATCAGGAACATAGTTCTTTCCCTCTGCAATATATGCAGCCCCATGATGCAATGTGCTCCCGTAAGGAAATGCTGGTCCGTGCACCAATACACTCACATCAAGGTTTCGGATCAAGGTGGGTGGGACAATAGGTAATATGTCTCCGAAGGTGACTTCAATTTTTCATTACTACAAAATGTTAAAAGGGGTTGGAGGTTGCTGGGGATTACTACAAGTAGTAACTCTTAGGTGTTGGTGCTAGCATTTCCAAAAAACAAAACCCCAAATACTGGCCACATATATGCACCCTTCCAATCGGACACACAAACCTCCATACTTCGCCTGTTCCAGCTGGGAACAAAATGGGGTATTGAATATTTAAAATCCCTAGGCATTTCTGCTAAGATGCAACCTCAATCCTGCAAAATCCTCCAACTGCCTCCATGTTAAAATTGCATAAAGCATCAATCCTCCAAAATCATCCGTTATTTCTTGAATGTGGTCCTTGGAGGGGTGACCACTGCCTCAATCCTGCAAAATCCTCTAGCAATCACTGTCAGTATGTTGAGGCAGAGCCAATGACATCCTGGAGCAGTGCAGAGGATTTCAAATATGATATACGCCTAAATGTATGCACGGCTGAGCATAAACAACACATGGTCCGGCCTAAGACCTTGACACAGTGCATCCTCCAAAATCAGCCACACATTTTTACCATAAAGCCTCAATCCTGCACAATCCTCCACTTTGCAAAGCCAATTTTGGAGGATTTGGGAAGGTTAGGGTTAATGTGAATGTTTCATGAAGCAAGACAGTTTGGCAGGGGCTGACTTTACCTTCTCCAGACAGACTTGGAGGCCCTTGGAACACTCTCTTCTTCTTAAGTGTGGGCACAATTTCTTCGTCAAAATGCTCGATGGCCATGGAGGAGATGTCTCGGAGCTCCTTGAGGAGTTCTGACATCGGGAGGAGGTCTTTAGCATGTTGGACGTGTCGCAGAACTGCAAAGGCTTCGTCAATCACCTGCACCGAGGACACACACAATATTAGGGCAAGTACGCGTACGCTAAGATCAATCTTTTACACCCATATTCAAATTCATCCAAAAATGGTTGCACTCATACTCACAAGAAAAATTCCCCACAGGAAAAAAATTCTTATTTATGGCATGTGTACTAGTACTTGTTCTCATGGGAAAGTATTCATACTTGTACTCATCCAAATGTACTTGTGCTCCAGGTGAAGTTATTACCCTTTGATTTCATTTGAAGGGGAGTTGTTTTATGTTTATTTTCATTTTTACTATTGGTCTCATCAAAACATGACGTTAACTGTGACTCGGCATTGGGCGATATTAATTAATATGTCACATCCCAACTATAGCAACTATAGTTTGGACAGTGCCAACTGTAGAGGGCAGTTCCAAATATAGTGGGGACATAGAGTTACGATCTTGGTGCTACAGTTGGGGTGTAACATGCAATAATTTAAGGTCGCCCAATTGTGTTACTTCACATGAGGCTGGTTGTCCTGATTTTGTCAAAGTCCAAAGACTGAGTGCTATCATGTTTTGGATAGTTAACTGGCTAAGCTTTAAGACCATGAAGACTAGACTTATAGGCCTACATGTCATTGTCAGACTTTTTCACAATTTGGACCATTCGATAGTCTGCTGGTCTGGTCGCATGAATGTAGATAAAATGGAGACGTGGTACCATATGTTTCGTTTGCCAGTTGGTCATGCATGACTGTTAGCTGTCTGTTATCAAGTCTGTTATAGTTTTTGCATATTTTCACTATCTCCAGTTTTGGGACTGTCACTCTCAATAGTCAATACACACTACAATCGACTTTTGTTCATATGAGCTCAGCTAGGACGAGATTCCGGTTAAGGCGAGCATATCCGAATCCCGACCTAAATGTGCACATTCCTATTGCAAAAAACATTACTTAATACTTTGGTAGTATGAGAATTTGGTTAAGACAAGCACTTTTTTGGCCCTATTGTGGCAAGCACATTGTTATCAATTCCTGCACGACAAGCATTTTTTAAAGGGAATGTACAACATTTGCTTTTGCTGCAATTTTCAGAAATAAATGGATTTGGAGGACTTGTTTCATGTTTTGGGCTTGTAGATGCTGGAAAAACCAAGGAAACCTATCATTTTCTTGTTGTCTGGTTCCCTCACTGGGTCTTGATCAAAATTGCTCCAAAATGGCTGTTTTGGACCAGGTACTGGTAGAGGTGATAATAATAATAAGAAGAAGAAGAAGAAGAAGAAGAAGAAGAAGAATTGTGCTTATATAGTGCTTTTCATCATATCAACGATCTCAAAGCACTTTACAATTATTACCCGCGCTCAATCGGTCCTCGACCATCACACTTTTCACAGGAACCCATTTATACTCCTGGGTGGAGAGAGGCAATTGTAGTTAAGTGTCTAGCCCAAGGGCACAAACACCATGTTCCTGGTACGGTTCAAACCCACGCACCTTCGTACATGAGTCAAACACCGTAACAACTGGATCATCAAGTTCTACATGTAAAGGTAAAAAAATAAAACTCCCTGACCTTGCCAGGTATGAAACAACACAGCTGGAGATCCATGTACTTGCTGTACGTCATGGACAGAAGCGATAGCCGTGTCTCGACGGCGGAGAGAATGTCACAGCGTTTGGCCAGAGGGTGCTCTCGTCTCTCCGATTCCCGCTTGGGTAGCTGTGCCTTCAGACTCTTGAAACACTTGGCGTGGTAGCGGTTCAGTTGGCGACTGCCATGACTAAGCAGGTCCTGGCATACTCGGTTGAAATGACGGCAAACCTATACGGGAAATCAAACTTAATAAAAACACGGACATTGCTTCTGGCAGTTCTCATCTGAATTAAGTTTAAAGCCCAAGTCCATCATTTGCAGCTATCCAAAAAAGTAACTGGCGTCATTATTGTTGAAAAACATACTGGTTGAAAGATAGTAAGGGGACTAAACTCCCTGTGAAATTATCCTTTCTGGCAAGCTCTCATTTTGAAGAAATCAACGAAAGAAGGCATTTCCAACGGTGTTTCTTTAGAAGCACCATAGGAAAATTTAAATTAGTTGTTCGTTTTGTTATTCGGCGCAGCGCTCAAAAGCATTGGAATGACGCACAGGCGCGCGCGGTTATAATTCGTCGGATCAGTGCGCAACATCGCGTAAAGCTGCAATTCAAAACAATTCGAACATGATTTAGCAACTTTTGATTTTAAATTGAGATCCTAGAATGCTGTTTTTCTCGGAATATGAAGCTGATGCTGAAGCTGAGATGAAACTTCATCAAGTAAGTTGTTCTGAATATCCTTCATTAGATTTTGAACACTTTTGTTGCTTCAAACGAACAAAATGCACTAATTACAAATGATGGACTATAGCTTTAAGCTTCCCACGATTTAACTGTCGAGTTAAATGTGTCTCATATAACCTGTACATGGAACAGTGAATAGGAACATTTAAACAATCACCGACAGTCAAAATTTCCTTTCACTTCCCCTGCTATACTTTCAACACAGGCTATAGTCACCAGCAGTCAGATCATATGGCAAGCAAGCAAGCAGGCCATGCAGATGTGGGCACAGCTGGCATATCAATTATCCACAGTCAAGGCAAAGCTGTATCAAGTTACTTAATTAAACAGTCCCAGCCAGTCAATCCTGCTTTATGTCGTGTAAGTAGGCTAGTAATTCTTAACTTTTTTTTTGACTGAAAGGACTACTTAGTACTTGGCACAGACTGTATGTTTGCATAGGAGGGTTAAGGCATAGTTTGCTAAAGGTAAATTAAGAGACCCTGCTCCATCGTTGTAGTCGAGTCACCTGTTCCCTCTCTCCAGGCCATGTGCATACAATTAGATGGGTACCTCAGAGGGCTCCTACCGTTTTCCATGCAAAGGATTCAGGAGTACGACATCCATCAGCCGTTGGGTCATTATTATTTTCCATACACAGTACAGTGCACTGACCCGACTGCTGTTGTATGTCGTACTCAGCATAAATAATGGAGGCGCCCTCTGATTGGCTGGCTTTTCTGATCCTTGAATGCGATTCCCAACTACACCATACACACGCGTTAATCAATTTTGTGTGACGTATTCTGTGCTGCGTAAAATGTTTTTCGGTCCGTGTGCGAATTCGTGCGCTTGTGCTGTAGACAAAAGTTTCAAAATCGTTTACGTTTTTTCACTAAAAATTTGCTGGAATTCTCTTCAAGAACTTTTTTTAGTAAATTAAATAATACTATATCAGAACTGTGCTTGATTCGGGGGTTTTCTGGCAAAAAAATTCATTTTCTCGCATGATTATTATTATTAGTATTATTATTTCTTTGCGCGAGGCAGTGTTTGATCGATTTGGAACTGATTGAACTGATCCGGAACTAGAAAAAAGGGTATCGGTACTTTTGACGTCGTACAGTCAAATTAACAGGAGCTTAAAGTTGGAAAATGATTGTGTAGTATCTCCATCACTCAAGGTAAACTTTTTGATCAATGTCACTTGAATTTGTGGAGTAGTTGAGCTGAAAGCTGCCTGAATGATGCTTGCTATCCGGAACTAGGAAAACGACTGTACTAGTACTACTACTAAGTACTAGTAGTAGTACTAGTCCAGTAAATTGGCCACATTCATGACATTTATGTGGCTACTAATGATTGGGGAAAAATGTTGCAACCTGACGCCACTTTTTTCTTCATATATCAATCATCTCAATGAAGATAATTCATTGCAAAAATGATGATAAGACATGAAATCTTGGACTCAGACACATTTCCAACTTTGTTTAGGACATAGGCCCCCAGTCCAGGCATTGTCAGGACTCAGGTACTTCAGTAGGGCCTAGGCTAGCCCCACTAGTGTGGCCGTCGGTATGCTGCGCTGCGCAGCATACCGACGGCCACACTAGTGGGGCTAGGCCTAGGCTAGACCCGTGAACGTGGCGTTGCCACGTTCACGGGTCTAGGCCTAGGCCTACTTGTTTTTGTTTAGGAAATGTTCTTGACTTTCCATAGACTTTGTATACAATCGTGGAAGTGGCATCAGGTTGCAACCCTTTTTTCCAGGAGTGCATACCAATCTCAGTTCACTGATGTGCTCATATGTAGTGTGTTGCAAAATCTGCCGAAGAATCATATCAGGCAGCGCGACTATTCTGCAAACCTTCAGCTCCTCGGCCTCGTCAGGCTGCCTCTTGGCGCAGTCTGCATCTGGTGCACATCCCGAGGACGAGGTTGACGATCTGTGCATCGAGGAATAAGTTTTATTCCTCCATACTCTGTCTTCACTCATTGTTATGAATTGTTGTGAGCAGAAAAACAAAAACAAGAAAACCTGGTTGCCTCTGTCCACAAAAGTGTGACACTGACACTGACAAGACTTTGTTTGGTCAATCAGTCATTCATTCACAGTGTGTAAGTGTAAGACCGTAAGGTCATGGCCATATTCTGCTAAAATGCAATTCAAAAATCTGTCAGATTCATAAAAAATCTTCCAAATTCCCCAGAATTACTCGAAATACACTATAAACATGTAAAATCACATGCAGACTAGTAGTATTGCCTTAGTTAAGGTTCAACTTACATTATATAAACAATCTTTAGTCACATAAAGATGTTATGAAAGTGCGTAAATTTCAGGCAAAACGTGGCGTTGCGTCGACAAAGTCAGGTAATTCCCAGTGAAACTTCAGCACCTAGATCAGTCAACCTGTCCCATTATGCAAGATATTGTTGAAAAGATTGAAGCTTTTTTAAACAAATGTGCCATTTTTTTTTCAAATTTGCTACGTTTTTCTGTCAAATATTCATTTTTGCAGAATTCTGCCAGAAATCTGCCAAAAAATCCAATCTGTCAAATTTTTCTTTCAAACTCGTTAACAAAAAAATCTGTCAATCTTAGCTGAAAATCGGCTAAAACGGTCATCCTAAATAGAGTGCGATGGATAACACGGCATTTAATTTTAGTTGGGCGCCTTCAGCACTAACCGTTCATTAATATATACATGTAGAGCAGGAACTAGACAAATCAGATCCTGAAAACAAAAGCACGCCCTCTATCGCCAGCTTAGATATTACGGACATTGAAGGCCGGTCTATCCTTACGCAATTTACCGACTTCAAGTGTCCCCTCCCCCCCCTGCGTACCCTAGAAAGGATATGGATAGGAAAAAACAAAAAAAACAAAAACAAAAACTTTTCTTCTTCCAGGTATAGCGCAGGCTTCATGGAATGAAGATACGGTATGCTACAGCATTAATTATTGGTCATTTCTCTTCAAGTTCAACTTTCCGATGAGCTTGCCGGGAGGACGGACTCAGTGAGCAGGGGCGGCGGCGGGCCGGGATCATTTTGTAATTGTAAAATATGTCTGTGTCTGTGTGTCTCCCATAACAACTTCTGTTAAGCTACACAAAAATATGCTTGCGTAAGGTTTGCCCGTGGTTGGGGCAGTTCCTATATAATTGCATGCTTTCTTCTTAAATAGTGTTCATTCGTTTTGAACGTACGCAAGACGGGTCGTTTGGTTTGGTTTTCTTCCAGTTGGGTGACACAGTCTGATATGTTATATAATACAGGCACCCGGCCCAACGCACATAATATTTTATGCAATAATGAATGCTTGTGAGTGCAATGGTAAGAATAATTTCATTCGGTGAGAGACGAATTTTCCATTCCACGAGGTGAAGCCAAGTGGAATGGAACATTCGTCTGTCACCGAATGAAATGAAAACTCCGGATCGACGCTCATAATTATTATCATGGTAATGAAATGTTTGGGCGGGCACCAACAATTCTGTAGTATGGTGGCCTTTTAATTTTTAATTTTTTTTTGACGTAGCAGGGGTTTTAAGGGCCTTAATTGTCTTTTTATTATACGCTATCAGGGGCGGATCCAGGAATTTTCGCAGGGGAGGGGTTTCATCAGCAAACAATCTGAAATGTAAACAGGTTTTTTTCTCCGGACACTTGGCCTCCGTAAAATCGAAAAATGGGAGGGGGGGGGGGGGCTGGTACCATATTTCAATAGGGGGTGCTGTTCAAATTCGACGAATATTAACACTAGATTACAGAATGGTGTACCGTATTTTCAGCAGCCGGACATTATACCAGTATAATTTTTTTTTTTTGGGGGGGGGGGTCAGGGGGGGGTTCGAATTATTTTTTGGGAATTTGTATGATAATTTTTTTTTTCGGACAGAGATGGGGGGGGGGGGGGTTACCCCCCAAACTCCCCCTCTGGATCCGCGCCTGGTTATTCAATTGTTAACTTTTTGAGCTAGACTGTCAAAAAATATAGTTAGAGAATCACCCGTTGTCCACTGTCAACGGAGCCCTCTCCATCTCCGGTCCCACGTCTGATGTGTCTAAGTCTGCAAATTTATGCGACCCCGCGCCAGCCAAACGGAATCGTCATGACGTTATTTTCATTCCGAAATCTTGACTAAGCTGTTGATTGGTCAATTCGGATGCCGTGTTTTTGTAACACAACAACGGGCATTAAGAGATCAACGACAAATCCGCCATTGGCTTTCAAAACGGGTTACCGAAGCCGTATAGAAGGCGCCCGCTGAATGGTCAGGTCAAGACGCATTCACGTTTTTGTTGCATAATTCGCCTAATCTTCTCGCGTATCACATACATGTACCAATGCTGTGCGAGGTATTCACTTCAATCAGGCATTTCGTTGACAAGTTAGGGCTCTTTAAAGTTTGCATATATCGATATTGCAAAATTCTGAGAGAAAAAAAGACTTTTAACGTTTCGACTTTTTTGTAAAATTGATAATGAAAGATGGCATTTGTTTTCCCCTAAAACACTTAGTCCACGATGCTATTTCTTTAACGAATGTGTAGTAGACATCAAAGATTACAAAATCAATATCAAAATCAAGTTCGAAAAAAAACCACACCACCATTCGTTTTTTTCCTATTCGGCGACAGCTGTTTTGTTTCACGTTTTTATTTTCTCCTCGGCAGCCCTGGCCTATAGCTGCACTGGAGAAAAATCAAAAGCGAAACAAAACACTTTGTCGCCAAATGGGGGAAACACTAATGGTGGTGAGTGTTCATCTCCATGCACGTTCTGTCTTTCGTGTGTAGTGCGTACTTGGTGTGTTGTTGTTTGTATCCTTTTGTAATATCCAATGTTATGGATTTATTGAAATTGTGTGTATAATTATTATGTGAACTTGCCGAATAAAATGTATGTCCCATACGTATTTGAAGGCCTTGGCTGTATTGCTTAAAATACTTCACAACAAAAACACAAGGTATTATAAGAATACTATATAGTGACTCGATATATTTAAGTTCGTGCATTATACAAATTACAATACTCTGTTTATTTTTTTGTCGTGCGTTATATTATTTCTTTTATTTTGGTGCGTAGTAAGCGAGGTCGTGCGAACAATTAAAATCCAACAAACAAGATGTAATCCACTATAGTACAATGCAATTATCTCGGTAGTCAAGGCAAACGTAAAAGTACGGCACGCATAATCATTCAAGTTATTTTAAGATATCTCTAATCATTATTTAAAGATAACACCAATTATTTCAAGATATCGCCAAACATTTCGAAAATAATGCCTCGGAGTCAGTATTTCGGGCTATTATCAGCTACTATTATTAAGCAGCAGCGTAACTACGGTCAAACTTCTGGGGGCACCTGGAGGTGCTTACGGGGGCGGGGGGGGGGGCCGCGGGGCACTGAAGCCCATTATTTCAACAGTGCAGTAAAAAAAAAACATTTCCAACTCCACATTTCAAATGGAGGGGGCACGGGCATCCGCAGGCGGGGGGGGGGGGGGGGGGGGGGATATGTGCCCCCGTGACCCCCTCCCTTGCTACGTCACTCCCCAGTGGTTTTAACCAAAAGTAAACTGCTCGATTACACTATTATTCTCATTCATAAATATCTCTTTGGTCAAAAAGTGAAGAACTGACATGGCTGTTTTCCCCAAAAATGACACCTAAAAGAATCGATTTTGAGGATTTGTACCCAAAAAAACACCCAAAAATAAGTCCCCTTTGTCTTGCATTAATTTACACGAAAATTACCGGCAAATGGAGAAAAAAAATAGACGGAATAATTTTCTTTCCATATCAATCTTTTGATACTTCAGTGACAGTTGATACTTTTTAGCCATAACAAAATTGTGTAAGCTATACGACATTGTAAAAACTGGCCGTCGGCACCGCGTACCTATTAAGGTCAAGTCCTACCAATTCACACAAAAACTAGCCTTGACCAAGGCTATCAGCTTGTTCCCATATGAGCTTGTTCCCGCTACCGCACACCGCGCACGCAGCGACACAATGTTGTACTATAGACCGCTTGCAGACGCGATCGATAATTGACGCGCTAAGGTGAGCGACGCCATGTTCTGGGACAAAATGTGCGTGGATAGATATACGCCTGTCCCACAACATGGCGTCACGCGCCTTCGCGCGTCGATTATCGAACGCGTCTGCAAGCGGTCTATACCGTTAGCGTGTGCTTTTTGTGCATGTACATGTTGTACTTACGCCCCACACACACTTCCGCAAACAGCCGTACAGTAAGTCGAGGCGGAACATAGCCTTGACGCAACCGTGTATGCCGAATATGATAATTAGTACGCGCTATGGTAAATAGTCTTCTCTCATTGGATAACGGCTGACAAAAAAATGAATATTTATTGCATTGCATAATACGACCAAAGGTTTATAAACCAGACGGCCTGTGGTAACAATAATTATTGTAAAACACCCCCTTAAAATCTTAAATAATAGTAGAATAATATTTATAAAGTTACACATAGTTTGGGTCGAAAATGAAATGAAAAGGATGACAAATTAGACCTTCAAAAAACGGCAAACGGTACAAAACCGCACGCCGGCAAAAACGATGTCACCATGCACAGAGGCCACGTTGGGGCCGTCCACTGTAGGCACCGGCCCGGGTGGCGCCATGCAGCAAGACACGCTGCGCTTTCACGTTCAGCGGCAAAAAAAGCGCTCACACTATTGAGTATATCTACCGCTGACTTTTGGGGGGGGGGGGGGGGCGCCGGGGGCGCCGGGGGTATTTCTTCTAAGTTGTCAAGGGGATATAGGAAAAAAATATCTCTCCTTCAGCAAACTTATTCTGTAAGACTGATTTTAACTTGTATGAACAACTTATAAGTTATATGTCGTATGTACGACTAATATATCGACAGGGTACGACATATTTCGACAGGGTACGACTAATATCGACAGGGTACGACATATATGTCGACAGAGTATGACATATCAAACATATGACATAATGTCGACAGGTGCCGGTACGACATATATGTCGTGCATAAGTCGAGTCGACAGGGTACGATATATGTCGCATACGACAAAGTCGTATATAAGTACGACTTAATATCTCGTGTGTACAAAATATGAATTGTAACTCATATGTTTGACTTGTTTGTCGATTATGTCGTACATACAACATATCTTGTGAGAACGACTTGTATCTCGTGCGATTTACATCTACGACTTACATGTCGTACGTATGTCAAAGGTACGACATATACGATTCATACGTACGCGTTAAAATACATGTGTTGTACGTATGAGATGTAATTTGCACATGGTACGAATTCAGGGAGAGTTTTTTTTTCACCTTGTACCTGACAGTTTCGTATATTTCCATCCCAAAGTCAATAGCTCGTTTCATACGGGTGCTTATAGATACGAGTTAACCTGCATTCGATTAAATGGGTATGATTTGACCTGGGTCCGAGTTGACCTGTTCCCTACATTCGCTGTCAGAATAGCACGGGCAGGTAGCGGCGTGATAGTGTACGCTGTTGCACCGACAAAACGTCGGCGGACTGTCTTGAACTGTCCAATTCGCAATACATTGGAAATAGTATCATTTTGAACAATTGTTCACTCATATAGCGGCATGTTTCATTTGTTTGTAATAAAACTGGAGAAATGGTTTAAAATGGGATTGAAATACCTGGACATACCATGGTTTGAGTGAACATACATGTACGTGGTGTATACAGTAATTTGCGGGTCATGAATATGTATGTCGCGGGTCAAAGTTTACGGGCTTTGATTGGATATCGTGTAATATATGCGCATCAGAAATTTTCGGCCGATTTCGGTCGAAACTATAAAGAAACACATAAGGAATTCGCCACGGTTGCGTCAAGGCTATCTTGCGCTTCGACTTATTGTACGGCTGTTTGCGGAAGTGTGTGTGGGGCGTACGTACATATGCACACAAAGCACACGCAAGGGTCGTTGAGGCTAACGGTATAGTACAACTAGTGATTGTGTCGCGGCGCGCGCGGTGTGCGGTAGCGGGAACAAGCTCGTATGGGAAGAAGCTGATAGCCTTGGTCAAGGCTACACAAAAACGTGTCATCGTGTAGTTTGCGGCCAAGGTGGTGCTGCCCAGTATGGGCATACTAGACGGCGCGTGGGAAGTGGTGAAGCAGGTCATGTCAGCCGCGTTTGTGTAATTTAACAGACAGACTTTAGGAAAACCAGCTGAGCTGAAATAATTTGTTTTACTAAATGATTTTTTCCCCCGAATTTCCAACTTACCAACTTCTGATAAAAATGAGTTCTTTTTCAACCTAAAAACAAAGGGGACAAAACAGAATTTATTGGTCCTGATTAATGGCCACGTTTATAATTGGCCGGTTTTCTCCGGTGCTTAAACGATGGTTTTAGAGCCAGCCATGGCGATGCTATTGACCACTACGAACTGTCATAGGTGTAAATGAATGCTAATTAAAAAAACGTTAGAAATAGCTTGGCTTCACTTGACATTTTCTTTTACGCTTTAAAGTTTACTTCAGTTCAATTTTAAATCAAACTTCGTTTAGAGCTCCAGGTAACCTACTGTTGTTTTTTTGTAACAACCAATTTCATCACTACAAAAAAAGATGGTTTTAATGATCGATTCCTTTCGATATCGATTCCTTTCGGTACTATTTCCAGTCCAGTAGTTGACTGATTGATCAATGGCAGCGAATCACTTCAAACCTCATGCAGCAACGGTTGTTCCACATAGTGGGGTGAATGCGCAGGATTCTGGTGCGCAATGCCACCGGGAACCGAGCGGTTACCAACGTCCTGCTGTCCGAGTTACCAGTGAACTGCAACAAAATCAAAATGGTTGACATGTTTAACGTACCCTGGCCTGTCGTGCTAAGTTATTGTCATAGGTATTTCGGGACTACTTATTGTGACGGTAAATATTGCGTCACAGCAAGAAAGTGGGATAATTTTCATCTTAAAGAACCAAATTACTGAACACTGTTATCAGGTTTTACTAAATTTTATTAATTGGCCTGAGATATTTTAACCGAAACAAAAACAGTTTTCCAAACATTGGCTTTCCCCCCGGCCCCGGCTCCATCTCTTGCTCCTGATTCATTTTAAATCCTTAAATTATCGAACTCCTACATGGACATTTGGCGGTCACATCTTGGGATTTGTTAGCCCACGTCGTTCAAGGGGAAAATCTTCTGAACCCAATTCCGGTGTTGAATTCGAGATTTAAAAAAACCCACAAAACTTTCATTAACAATGAATCCTTTACCTTTATTTGTGTTCCAGACGCATCAGTCACGTGATCCCAGGACTGAGCGTCATCACTGTACGTCACTTGGTACTCCGTCACCCATTGGGTTTTTCGGTCACCACGCCCCTGGGTGATCAAACCAGTGATGGTGACTGTACCATTGAAGTCAACCTGTATCCATGGACTGTCTTCAGATCCGTCACTGCACCAGGCTGAAGCTGATCCTGTTCAACAAATTACAACTAACAATTATGTTACTGCATGCATTTAACGGCCATTATCGTTAGCTATACGCTCCGTTCACAAGTACCCCCTTACCGCGAAGCGCGGCCACTATAGCTGCGCGCGTGCAGCCTCGATCGACTCTATCCGGGTTGCAGACCAGTACATAAACTTCCATAGACCCCAATGGTAAATGCTCCCACTTCAGAAATTTGGGAAAAATACTCACAACTCTTCAGGGTGTTCGAGACACACATCAAATTAAAGCTTATTTCGTCATCTTTCATTTTCTTTTCATTTTTTTTTTTTGGGGGGGGGGGGGGGGAGGGGGGGGTTCAACTGTTGACTTTTAGGAGAAATTTCCATCCGAAGATGATCACCCCTGAAAATAGTCCTGAAGCCCATCGCCAATTTGAAAAACGATGCCTACACTCCATTGCAAAATAGAGCGCTTTAAGGGCCCCAATTTCATCCAAGTTGAATGGAACTACAAGCTCACAGTCCTGTGCACGGCTTCCACCCATAATTTTTACAAACCCTCAAGTTCATGGCCCACAGCATGCTCAAAAATCTTCAGTATTTGAAATACTGAAGATTTTGAGGGCATGCAAATCGTGATTTGGCCGGCGTATAGGCAATTTCGAACGGACCGATTTACTGGTCTGCAACCAAATTGAGCGAGCGCGCGTTTCTTGTAAGATCGCGCAAGGCATGATGGGAAACAACAGGCCCAGCAAGATCGTTCCCGAGGGGAACGAGGTTGAAAGTGTGAATATAGTACACCCCGTGCACGGAACGGTGCGCGCGCGCGTCAACCAGCGAAATGTATGTGTCCCGCCCATAGAGTTATAACTCTCTGGTCCCGTCCATTGGTCTCCATTAAAGACAGTCTTACTACTGGAGATCAATGGTCCCGCCCATGGTCCCGCCGATGGGACGTCGTTGCTAGGTAAAAGGGCGCCCTCTTGTTGGCGCACGGAGACTTGTTTATCGTGAATTCGGGACCAGTGGCCTATAGGAGTTTCATGATGACGTTTTGACGGCATTGCTCGACTAGAGACGTTCGCATGTTGCTTTCAGTGTGCAGGCGTAATTATCAGTTACGTTCCAAATCAACCACTAGTTGAAAACAGTCATCGAGTGAACTTGCTCGACTGAGTTACGTTGGAAAAGTTAATGTTGCAAGTAAAACAAAAACAAAACAAAAATCACGTGGCCTTCATGTAAATGGCTGTATAGAATTTAACCTGGTTTTAAGTTTGCATATCCCGTGCTCTTCAAAAAAAATATTGCTTTTATATTTTTCTCCTGTCGAATTAGCAATGGTTTTGTTTTAACGGGAAAGATATTTCTTTTCGATCTCGAGTGTCTGCAAACCTCTGAAGAATTCTTTTTTCTTTTTGTTCATAAATTAGTAGATCCACCCTGCGACAGCCAAATATTATTGTCTAAAAGCTAATAACTCGAATAGTGTGAAGAAATGATTTAATTATCCAAAGTCCGTAGATTGTTTTTCGTTCAAAGTCTCATTCCAAAGTGAATGACATTCATACTGCTATAGGAAAAAAGCAAATGAAAAACCAAATGTATTTTTGAGGTGGAACTCGAAAATAACATCGCGAACATATCTTTAATCTCACTACATCCAAAAAGGCTAAGGCCTACCTCGAGTATAAAGCCTGGCCCTGGGTGCAGTGGTGTGAGTAGGGCGGTTTTCATAGAATGACGAAGCTGTGATGCTTTCATCTGGGATGCGACCATCTTCCATCCCAAGAGGTCCCTCCACGGAGCAAGGAGAGTCACCTGTGGTAAAGGTGCGATCGCTGTGAGAAGTTTTGTACAAAGTAACCATTAATGTTTTTAAAGAACATACGGTGAAATCTCGACAAGTCAAACTCTGATAACTCAAAACAACTGTTAATGCATTGCCTTCAGAAGTATAACAATGATATACAACCCCGAAGATGACAGACGGGCAGCTGCTGAGGACAAGAGGAAGAGATGAAAGGAGCAGACTGCCTCTCAGACATCTTCAGCCCAGGGCTTCCCTTGTCCAAAATGCGGAAAGGTCTGCGCCGCACAGATCGGACTCTACAGCCACCTCCGAGCCTGCAAAAGATAGACAGACCATCCTCCCCGATCCTCGCAAGCGAGGAACAAGCCATCATCACAACCCTGCTTCATTCAAAACTCTTATCAAGTCAAATTTGGAACCTGTTTCGTTGAGGTTTGACTTATCAAGACTTCACTGTAATACTGGTCTATTTGCCAAGTGAAAAGTTCAACGGGGAAAAACGAATTTTAAAAAGTTTAATGCCACGAGTAGAAGTTTCGGATGCATGTGCCTCTAACTATCCCGCGCGACATTGACAAACCAGCGCTTTGTAAATCCAACGTGTGTTTCCTCTTCAGGAAAAAGAGGACCCAAGTTAATGAGTTGCCTGTAAATCACACTGTGTACTTGTCACAAGCATCTTGGGAAACAAAGATACACTGCTTATTAACTACAGCATATGCTTAAACAGCTTACAAGGATTTCAATTATTGTAGAAACACAAATCCCCTAAAGTTTTGCTTTTTGTATTAGCTTTGAAATGAAACAACTACACAGTCTTACCATTTCTTTTGAAGTATTTCAACTTCTTTTTGTTGACTGAAACGATCGAGTCATCGCTCAATGCACACTGTCTGGTATCTTTGGTATATCCGAAGTATTTGCAGTCTTCTTCCTTGAGGCAGGCCGCGGCACACCTCAGGTAGGAGGCTCGTTGGCTTGACCGAATCACTCGATATTTGACGGTGCTGTTGAACTGTGAAGCCGTGAAATCCGAAGATTTCACGTTAGGGAGATCAGAGCCAGCTCCGCTCTGAACCATGTAGACAACAAAAAGAGCGAGGCACCAAACAAGACGACAATGTCTTGGGTGATAAATAGGAACATTCATTTCGTTTCGTTTAGGTTTGTTCAGCCATATAATTCTCACATGTAGCCTACTTCGAAACTGCTTTAGATTGTGTTTTAAACAGCGAACGGCGGAAGGCCGTATACTATACGCTGTCAATAATTAAACGCACGACTAGATTATGGATGTGACTAAGTCACACAATCGACGATAAACTGACGATTTAAGCCAGAAAATAGCCCATGGTCGCGGCAGATTAACGCAGTGGCAATAGCTGCGCTGCTGATAGCTTTTGCATACGTATTTGGCAAATGTATATTTTGTAATCTTAATAAGGTAATTGTGAATTTATGGAACGTCAATTTGGTCTAAAACTTGCCTCGATGGTTCAGGCTGGTACCATAGACATTTAAAATACCAGATTTGTAAAATCATATTTTTGACCAAAAATGATACCTTTAGACCAAAATGAGCCAAACAAAATCACATTTTTTTCAATTTTACAGCTCGACATCATGCCTAATCTGCAAGTAGACATGTTATTTTTTAGGCTTTCAAATGAGGTATGATGTAGGTGTGTGTGGTGTTGGGCAATAGACAAATAACCAAAACTGGTCTTCGTTTTGCTCGTAGAAAAACGATTCTGAGAAAAATGCACATTTTCACTCAATATTGCCTATAGTAACTGCACATTTTGTAATCTTAAGATGGTTATAATGAATTGATGGAACGTCAATTTGGTCTCAAACCTGCCTTGATAGTTGAGGCTGGTTCAACAGATATCGAAAATACCAAAGTTTTAAAATCATATTTTTGACCAAACATGTGGCTTTTAGACCCAAATGAGCCCAAAAACACATTTCTCCCAATTTCCAAGCTCCACATCATGCCTAATCTGAAAGTACACATATTAAGCTTACTATTGATGTATGATGTAGGTGTGTGGGGTGGGGCTTTAGGTCGACCCAAATTTGGATTCTGCCGCTCGCCTAATGGACTTGTTTACAACGTGCTCGCAAGGTGCATAGTCGTGGTCGCATATAAGTATCCTAGCTTACTGCTTGAAAATATGGTCCTCAAATAATTATTGATATCTGTTTGTTTTGAAAACGTGCCCCCACAAAAAAAACAGAGAAATGGTGCAAAATCTTTAAAGCATAATGGAAATGAAATGTTGAATAAGTGGAATACAAGTTTGCATTGTTCGTGTTGTTCCTCGTTGGTACATGTAGTTTCAAATTAATGTCTGTTCGCGCTTTATTTAAATGGCCCATGTAAGGCGAAGTAAAAAAAAAAAGTTTCTCGTCCGGGGTTTTTGAAAAAAGGGAGGAAGCGGGGCCTTTTATTTTTTATTTTTTATTTTTTTCAAGATGGCCGCCATTTAAAAATTTCCTGCAACCGTTGGTTGTGTCAACTGTTCAAAGAGACTTTTAAAATGAAAGACAAGTTGGACAAGAGAACTGAGCATATTTACAGTGTCGGAAAAAATTCGGTACTGGGCCACAACTTTTTTTCGATTAATTTTCAAGCGCCAAAAGTTGTATCCTTTGACTTACTTCATCAAGATTCGAACCTCGGACTTTTACTTGAAACACGAGACTCTTAACCGCTAGGCCGCGCACGATCGCTGTTGCAATAATCAATCTTTGGACGTATTTGAAGTAGCAATTGAAATAAACTAAATATTCATGAGAAATAAATATTCATAATGACGTATTGCACTATCATTGGCCGGCTCATGCGACGTCATGGTTGTCGATGTCATGCGTCATGCGTACCGCTGTCTGTCAGCCACACTTCAATCAGTTTTGACCGGCTGCTTCAACTATAGTTCCGCACGACGTGTGCATCCAAAATGGGCTCTAAAAACACATTTTGCCTATTTTTTTCCGCATTAACACAGCTTCCTGGATTCCTCTTGGGTGAAATCACTAGGTGAGGTGAAAATTGATGTGTTTAGCGGCAGGTAAAGTCGTGGCCCAGTATGGAATTTTTCCCACAGTGTCATTTAGAGTTGTATTGGTATTGGTATTTATTTTTCGATGAGTTTGTGGACTTTTTCGGTGTTTTTTTACTACATTTTTCAAAAATAAAAAATATTAAAAAAATCCAGGCGGCCTCCAAAAAGGAAGCGGGCGGGGACGAGAAACTTGGTTTTTTTTTACTTCGCCTAACTGACTTTTCTTTCAATGCAATCCCTCAAATGCAGCCTTGTGCATCCATTATGTTCACACTGCCAAGGTTACAGTGTTTTTCCTGTTACAATGTTTTTCCTGGGCCTTAATTGTCGTGCATAAGTTATGAGCAAAACCGTGATGCCATTAGGCAGACGGAGTCTTCAGTGTCACAGCTGTTTCAGCATTGAAAGCTACCGGAATTTCAGGACGATTGCCGTGTTCTTGCTGTCTTTGATGTCTCGTTGTTAAGTACATGACAGTGAGTCACTCGAGCAAACTTAATGCACTAAGTAATGTTGGCAATGACAGCCGGAGCCCCATTAGGGGATACTAATTAATAATGTCACTAATAGACTGTAAAGTGCACCTACAGAAGTGAGAAGTGAGTTCACGGCAAAACGCCCTCAATTGTCAGGAAAAGAAAGTAACATTTTCAATGCCCCCAAAAAGTGCATTTTACCAAATTAAAGCCAAGAGGGGCAGCTCTTTATTTTCATATGCAGGTCACAGATGATGGATATCTCAACCTTATTATGTAAATTGCTGATATTGCAGCTATCCTGCCAGTTATTTTCTAAGATACCTCTAAACACTGTGAAAATTTAAAAGCCTCGGAGTGATTATTTTCGGGCTACTACCAGCAGCGAGTAAAGTTGGCCTGATTTTGTTTTGCATGTTTTTTTTGGAACTCGATCGGTCCCAGTCTGGAAAACAAGAGCCTGCTTCCTACATTCCCTGCAAAACGTGTTGTTTATTTTCGAATTCGGATCCCCAGAAAAGTGGTTTAAACTATTTACAGTGATGTATTAACAGTACTTTGATCAAAATTCAATGGTACGTTTCGAGGTTTTAATTGGCAATGTGACAACGAGATAGCACCCAAGTCAGTACGTTCACTCCGTTTGTTCGATTGATAATAAGGCATTTCATTCTAGCTGCGCGCCTTCAACACTGAAGCAATTCACACAATCTTGTCAAGGAGGAACGACCGTGACTTATCAGATTCTGAAATCATCCATCGAAGAAAAGCACGCCCTCTATCGCTAGATTATACTTTGACGGGAATGTATAAGTGCACACAGGAGTGCGCTATTTGGGGAAGTTAAACTCTTTCGTATTTACACACATTAACCCTCTGAAAAAACAAACGCCCGCATATTGTGTCGATGTCTGCCATAAAATAATCAAAAATGCTGATGGATTTTGAAAAGGCTGATGGATAGACAAACCACAAACAACTGCTACAACATGAGAAATATTACAACGCGCACAATGCAAGCATCCTGATGACATACCAGATTTCTCTCCAAAAGGCCCAACTATACTTCACTAACTTCGTCTTGTTTTCGTGGCCTCAACTTGTACCCATCCCATAATGCAATAGATCGCCTGAAGTGTTTGAGAACAACTTAAGATCCTGTTGATCGGGCTTAATGTGAAGAGTTTAGGGCGGGGAAGCACAGAGAGGGTTGGGTCACGGATCCTACACACAAGGATTAACGACTATGCGTGATAACGGCCCGTACTGGTGGCAAATACCATGAATAATGTACTTGTCAACAAGAGAAAACCGGCTTTCAGATTTGCAGGCTCTGCGTCCGATTTGCTGGTGTCGAAGTCTGTCAAGCCAGCTTATTATATTTTTGAATATTAATGAGTCTACTTTTTGATTGAATTCTGATAAGTAATAACTACATCACCATGTTAACGCCGAGCACAGTATCTTTAGCTTCAAAATGAACTATGAAATGTCGCATTTGTTTTATCGGTTCGGGACCACATCTCTCTCAAACGTTTTAATGAAAGCCGAATTAACAACGAAATTTGGGTAAACGGTGTTCTCCTCGAAATTAGACGTTTATTTCCCGGGTAAATACTTCATCTATGACGACAATAACTGCTAAGTACTATCTGTTATATCCTGAAGTACATAATTTTTTTTTTACAATTTTGGAACTTACATAACGAGTAGTTTTGCTCACAGTTTTTTGAGTTTTACAAAATTAAGTCCCCTTTCCCTTACATTTATTTACAGGCAAATTACAGGCGTACTTTTAACAACAAACAGGAGGAAAAGAACAGCTATAACAAGATCACTTGTACGTTGGTACCTTGTACCTAAGGCCAACTCCTTCCAATTTACGAGAACGTTAGTCGTGGAGTTTGCGGGCAAGGTAGCGCTACTAAGCTTACTAGACGGCGCGTGGAAAGCGGTGAAGCTGGTCATGTCGGGCGCTTTTTTGTCATTCAAAAGATGGTTTCCAAAAAAAATTTAAAAATTGCTTTATTATATAACAAAAATTATGTTCATTTTTAAACTGAACACAACTGAACACAAAGGGGACAAAACCATAATTTGTTGCCCTGAGTGAGTGGCCACGTTTATCATTGGCCGATTTAAACACTTTTCTCCGGTGTTTAAAAGAGAATGGAGCCAGCCATAATGGCGATGCTCTTTACCAATGAAAACTATCATATATATAAATGAATGCTAATTAAAAAGTTAGAAAAAGCTTGACTTCACTTGACATTTTTTTGTTACCATACAGTGACATTTTAAAATCAAACTACGTGTAGAACTCTGAGTATAGACCTACTGTTTTATGCAACATCAATCTCACCAGGCGTATTGTAACTACAAAATCAGTAAAAAGATGGGTTTCAATTATCGATTCCTTTCGATATCGATTATTTCCTGTCCAGTTATCGACTAATTCAATCAAAGTGATTAATAGCAGCCAATCACTTCAAACCTCATGCTACAATGCTTGTTCCATGCAGTGGGGTGAATGTGCAGGATTCGGGTGCGCAATGCCAATGGGAACCGTGCGGTTACCAACGTGTTCCTGTCCGAGTTACCAGCGAACTGCAACAAATCAAAATGGTTGACTTGTTTAGCGCACCCTGTCGTGCCAAGTTATTATCATTATTGTATTCAAGGACTACTTATTGTGATGGTAAATATTGCTGCACAGCAAGAAAATGGGATTTTTTTCATCACCATAGAACCGAGTTATCTGTGCTACGGTTTTACTCCATTTTATTATTAAAGACACAAGCTTCACCTCCCAAATTTCGATTGGTCTGAGATATTTTAACCGAGATAAGCAGGGTTTTCCAAACATCGGCTTTCTCCCCAGCTTCGGGTCCCTCTGTTGCTCCTGAATCATAATAAAACCTTATAATATCGAATTCTTACATGAGTATTTGGTGTTCATATTTTGGGCTTGTTGAACCGACGTCATTCAAGGGGCAAGTCTTCTGCAGCCATGTTCGGAGTTGAAGTCGAGATTTGAAAAACCACGAAACTATTTAACAGTGATTACTATACCTTTATTTGTGTGCCAAACGCATCAGTCACTTGATCCCAGGACTGAGCGTCATCACTGTACGACACTTGGTGCTCTGTCACCCATTGGTTGTATCGATCACCACGCCCCTGGGTGATCAAACCAGTGATGGTGACTGTACCATTGAAGTCAACCTGTATCCATGGACTGTCTTCAGATCCATCATCACACCAGGCTGCAGCTAATCCTGTTCAACAAAATAACTGACTTTATAACACCTCATCCACAGATTCTGTGTCTTGATTGGCCGAGAGCGAGTCACATGGTACTTTCTATTTTTGCTATTTTTCTGTACACGGCCAAAAGTACTTTACCCGTGGCAACCAAAGTACTACCATAATGGCAATCAAAGTACTATCCGGTTCGTAAGTGTGACGTCATCTCAACTTAACCATGCGTACTTGTACTTCACGTTGTGAGCATAGCACGAACGGAACCGGTGCCATTTGAAAATCGGACTCGTGTGAAAATCGGACTCTTTTTTCCTTTTATTGGTTAAACCCTCTCACGTGACCGGTCCCTCTCCTAATTATCTATGCATGAGCGTGCGCAATACCATCAATGAGTCCGTATTTCATAAAACATAAATTCATGCTACACCGGAGGCAAATTGAGTGTTTAGCCAATGGGCGCTTGTAATCAGTGGTTCGCGCGTGTGTATGACGTTTTACTAACAACCGGAGAGAGTACCGAAGTAAATATACATCACGTGCACAATAATGGTGTGTGTAAAAGTCGTTAACGCGCAACCTCGTCCCCAGTGCTTTCTTTATTTCCAACCTCGTTTCCAATAGTAAGCCCTGGATAGGAAACTTTCTTCCTGTATCCTGATTCGTTGCCGCAATTGGCTAATAATGAATTTATATCGTATAGTTGGTGTTTCCAACATGCATTACGTGTTTTCACGATCATTGTAATTATAACGTCCACGCCTTCTCAATAATACTCCTTTTCTTTCCAGTTTGCTCATATAGTAATATGATATGTGATACTGCATATTGGTGGGCCAGATTGTAACATTTTAACTTCCAAAAAATTGTGTTTTCTAATTCACGGCGCGACGAATTGATGCTGTTTTTACCCCAGACACCGCATACAAAAAGAAACGCTAATGTAACGCACATGCAGGTACCAGATTATTCCTCATTTGCATACGTGTGCAAAAATCTTGCACACACGGATCCAATACCAGGGTGATAGAGCAGGTAGTGGTGGGCGCGTACTGCACGACACCCTGGGACCGAGGTTGATTAGCGCGTGATTCAGCCCGTGAACCAACACGCGCACGTACTCCATTCGTTTGCATGCACTACACTTCCCGGTTCAAAATGACTTCACAATTCAGTACTCAATACCCAGGGCGCGGTATTACATGACCAAAGAAGGTCACAATAAAGAACTCTACAAGAAAACCAACGAGATGTCTTGGAGTAAAGCCATTACCAGGAGACGTCTTAGGTAGACAGGCCATCTCCTGAGACTGCCCGAGGAAACACCTGCAAGCGCTTCTAGAAGCGATCCGCAAGAACAAATAGCTGCCAAGAGGTGGATAACGAACCACGTGGTTGAATACAGTAAACACGGACCTGACAACCACGGGGGTCAACATCAAAGATCAACACACCTGGCACGTGGCATCAGACAGTGAGCAGCGGAGGACACTTACAGAGTGCGTGTCAGTATACAAATAACGAATGTTTGTGAGTGCGATGGTAAGAATAATATCATGAGGTGACAGATTGAATGTTCTATTCCACGAGGCGAAGCCGAGTGGAATAGAACATTCAAGTGGAATAGAACATTCAATCTGTCACCGAATGAAATTATTCTTTCCATCGCACGAACGTAAAACATTCGTTATTTGTTTTATACAACACCTGAATAAATTCTCGTCATTTGATTGGTAAATTATAAACTACAATTTATTTTGATTTTAAAGATGTTGAACTACCCCTTCACGAAAATGTTTGAACCCAACGCTGTAGCGCTGGCTCTTTGGAACAATACGCGCTACGCTGAACGCGCACACCAGCATGCATTTTGCACGCAAATACCGCGTCATGGAACAAGCGCAAAGTGAAACGGTATAACGCATGGGTATAACGCATGGTCGCACCGTGCATTATACCGAATAATAATATGTCACGTGATCTACAATTCACAAATCAGATGACGGGGATTTATTCAGGTGTTGTATAAATCTACTTGACGCAAGCTCCTGGATGATGGCGCGGTATTATATTTTTGTGCAAATGCTGGTGTGCGCGTTGAGCGCAGCGCATTATTGTTCCCAAGAGAGCGCACCACTGAGTTAGGTTCGAACATTTCATGAAGGGGGCGGTTTGGAAGAGAGAAATACATTTCCCACCAATTTTGTATTGAAATTGAAGTTTCTTTTAACTGTGTTAAGATTTAAATAATTTAAAATATTAAAACCAAGCAGAATATGTGGGTGAAGTGTTTAAAACAAATATTGAATGCTTTATCTCGTGGTGAAGTTAAACTAGCCCCCCTCGGTGATCCATGGAGCATTCTATTTCATGGATCACCTTGGGAGGCTAGTTTTACTCATAGAGCTATATTCAGCGCTAACTCATGTACAAAGTGATGCCTGCTGGGCGCATCCATGTTTGTACACAACAGTGTTGTAGGTCTCGAGACCGGTCTCGGTCACGGTCTCGAGACCACTTTTTGCCAGTCTCGGTCTCGGTCTCGGTCTCGGTCTCGGGAACTGTGGTCTCGGTCTTGGTCTCGGTCTCGGTCCCCTTTGGTCTCGATATTTTGGCTGGTCTCGAGTCGAGACCAGCCAAAAAGTGAGGGGGCGGATTCCGCCCCCGGCCCTTTTAGGGTTAAGTAAAGAATCAGTTTAGGGCAAATGTGACTGCGGTGTGATGCTAATGGACATGTCTCTCTTCACTTTCTAGTGAGTGAGGCATAGTCCAATAACCATTGCTCCTCTTCTTATTTCTCGTTTTTATTGTGGGATGATCTGTTGAAACAAGCACTTTATAGCCATCCTCATTGATTCCAAATACAACTGAGATTTAAATCTTATGAATCAAGACTGAAACATTATTTTTACCGTCAGATTCTGTATTTTGAATATGGGGAACAATTTAACTCTTTTTCCCTAGAAATATTGGTGATTTTTTTTTCTATTTTCCTTTTCAATTTTTCCTTTATTCGTGGGGGCGGGAAAACGTTTTTTTTTTCCATTATATTTATTAATGGATATTCATCAATTCGTAGACCGTTAAATTGGTGTTAGTGGTGGACAGCTGAATTTTGTGATCTCTTTATTAAAATAGACACGACTTGGGAATAGAGTATGCAAATTACGTGAAATGTTCACAGTTACTACTCAATAACATGTTCTTTATCCCAATTATATTTTTTACAAAATGGAGCGTGCCATTTTTTTTATCATACGGTCACTTTCTTTAGACTCGCCATGTATTCATCTTTTCATCTGTGATAAACACAAATTGAGCTACTGCCATGGTCACACAAAAATAGAGTCTAATTGCCTGTCTCGTCTCCTTCCTAAATGTCAATTGCATTTGCATGAGTCGAGAAGAATTGTGTTCCATTACTCGCAATATGTCGTACTTGTATTCATCTTTTCATCTGTGATAAACACACATTGAGCTACAAAAATAGAGTCTAATTGCCTGCCTCGTCTCCTTCCTAAATGTCAATTGCATTTGCATGAGTCGAGAAGAATTGTGTTCCATTAATCGCTATATGCTGTTTACAGCCATCACAATAAACTATTAATATATTGGCAATATGTCGTACTTGTTAACAGTGGCGGAGATTTCTTGTTACAGGTGGGGGGGGGATGATTTTTGAAAGGCCATCCTTGTGTGGAACGCGACACGGCACGGGGTCCAAGAAACCGCTGAAGGGCCCCCTGGTGGGTTGCAGGCGCAAAGCCCTTGCAAGGGGTTGAGGTAACCCCCCCCCCCTGGAGCCCCTGGGGTTTACACAATTTTAGGTGCAAAATGGTGTCAAAATTCAATCTTTTCTTGAGCTTGAATTGCAATAAATGACAATAATTAACACTTTCAAGCATAAACAAATATAAAAGATCTTCAAAACTAAAATTTCTCATCCAATGTATTTGGAAGTGTAGGCCTAAGCTATCTTTGCACAATGGAGCTCTGGTCACCTAGCAACACAAATAATGCCTATGCATTATTTTAAGTATAATTATTTACAAAATAATTAATGCAAAATAATGCCTAGATGCATTTTGGTAAGGTATGATTAGAATGTGACGACAGTTGCGTAGCCAGGATTTTTTCAGTGGGGGGGGGGCCGCTGGGGGAGGCTGGAACATTTCATGGGGGGCGTCATGTAGGGGTGTCAATCGCTTCTCAAAAGTGGGGGGGGGGACATACCTTGATCAGAACTGATGCGAGCGCGAAGCGCGAAGCCCTTACGGCGTGGGGGTTCGGGGCCCGCTTAAGGGCTCCGAAAAAATTGGATTCTAGATGTTCTGTGGTGTGATCTGAAGCAATTTCTTACCACTTTCCTCCATGCTTTAACTAATATTTTCTTAGCAAAAGATAATTATTTGAACATCGTTTTCGAGGTTGGAGTCATTGAATCAGCTATCGGTATTCTGAGCTATATGCGTGGGGTTCGGGGCCCGCTTAAGGGCCCCGAAAAAAATTGGTTTCTCGATGCTCTGTGGTGTGATCTGAGGCAATTTCTGACCACTTTAACCAATAATTATCTTAGCACAAAAGATAATGTTTTCTCAGCTAAAGGCATAAGAAAAATTTTTGAACATTGTTTTCGAAGTTGGAGTCATTGAATCAGCTACCAGAATTCTGAGCTATAGGCGTGGGGTTCGGGGCCCGCTTAAGGGCCCCGAACATTTTTGGATTCTAAATGCTCTGTGGTGCTATCTGAGGCAATTTCTGACCACTTTAACCAATATTTTCTAAGCAAAAGATACATTGTAGTACATAATAGGGCCCTGTAAATGAGACACGAGTTCAAAAATCTGGGGGGGGGGGGGGACATTTCATATTGTGTCCCCCACCCTTCAAAAAGGGGGGGGGGGACCAGTCCCCCTGTCCCCCCAGGATTGACGCCCATGGCGTCATGTAGATCAATGATAATTTTTTTAGAAACTCAAAACCTCAGTGGGGGGGGGGGGCGACTGGGGGGGGGGGGTTGACAAGGTTTCATGGGGGGGGGGCTGTCGCCCCCAACGCCCCCCCCCCCGTGGCTACGCCACTGATTTCAAGGAATTTTAATTGGTCTATTATTATTATTTAGCTTATATGAATGGAGGAAAAAGTTTGTGCGTGGCCGATTCGCGTGATATCGCTGACTGAAACTGTGTGACCCACGGACCACCTGTCTATAATACGTGTTCCGTGGTGTGGGCGAGCAGTGCAGTGGGTGTTAATACGCATTTTAGATTATCATTATGCGCTATGTCACGCCGGTTGTCAGCTTACTGGTCCGCGGTCGCCGGTCGAAGGGTCGTTTCTCAGTGGTCATCATGTGGATCATTCGCGACTATTTAGATTTAGATCAATGATAATTTTTTTAGAAACTCAAAATCTCAGTGAGGGGGGGGGGCGACTGGGGAGGGGGGCGACAAGGTTTCATGGGGGGCGGTCGCCCCCACGCCCCCCCCCCCCCGGTGGCTACGCCACTGCATGCATGAGAGAGTTGTTGCGGCGGTCCTGTTTATAATCCTCTGCTAATGAATACATGTACATAAAATGGTGCGGCTTATACGATGGTGCGGCTTATACGCTGCGGCTTATACGATGGTGCGGCTTATACGCTGTGGCCTGAATCTTATTCTGAAGTTTTTGGAGCGCTGCGGCTTATACACAGGGCGGCTTATATTCCAAAAATTACGGTAAGCGAACGACACTTGCACTTGCTGGGCTGCGGTGCTGGCCTGTCAAAGGGTATTGGCAAGTTACGGACCCTGCCCAAATTAGTACGCCTGCCTTTAAAAAGTGGGGGGGGGGGATGATTACATTGGTCATCCCCCCCTGGTCAAAAGGTGGGGGGGGGATATATCCCCCCATCCCCCCCCCCCCGGGATCTCCGCCCATGCTTGTTAATCACTAAAATATTCAAGTAAATTGCCCAGCAAAGTAGCCGATGCGGGTGATACGATGGCACGGTAAAAAAAACACAGAGAGGCGTGGGCACTGAGCCATGAATCCTAAAAGTACATCTCACCCACCACAGTCAGTTTGTGACAGCGCCCTTCTATTGTATCGGCCATATTCTCAAATAGGCTAATGGCGATGATGACGGCGGGCAGATTAACAGAAGATAGATCAGGCAAATATGGTTCATCGAACTTCTATAGTTCATGTAATGGTATTGACATTAAACAAAAATAAAGTGGCATTACATTTCAGCCTTAGCCAGGCCTTCTTCAGAGGTAAATGACAGAGGAACAACTGAAGAAACAAACATGTAGGGGACACACAAACATGCAGGGTTGGAAGGAGAATCACAAAGAGGGAGGGGGGGCAGACAAACCATATCTGTCTGGCAACCATCTCTCAATTTTTTGGTCTACATGTACAAATCTATATTCCATGACTGAAATTTTAAAAAATAAATCAATATTTTCTTGCTCCAAATTGTTTTTGAATCAGGTTTACAAGGAGGTCCAATGTAAAATTAAAATTGCATTTAAATATCCGTTAGTGGTCATTGCTGAAACCAAGGGGTGGCTGTGGAGTTTAGGGTCCGAGTTCCTATAACAGATGAAACATCCACCTTTATTTTTTTACTTTTGTCAAGTTTCAACATGTTCAAGTTTTGCAAAAACTAGTACAAATTGTCGTACTCCTAAGTTAGAGTTTCTTCATCAGATTTACACTTTATAGTAGTTGAACAATATTTAAAAAATTTTTTTTTTAAAGTGGCAAAAATATATGGAGTTTATCAAATAAGGTTTCCCCCTTCTTTAAATTAGGTTGTTTCCAATTTTTTTAATTGATTGTGACAATAACAAATTCTGTTGCCATGTTGTAATTTATGGCATGAAGCAAACACGAAGAGCACTCGCATGACACAATTAAGCAGGTACAAGTGATTCCTAACTTTCAATCACTTCCTTCACATCCCCATGAACATCAACATCTCAAGCACAGACTGTTCAGCTGTAATTAGGGTCTTGTTGTTTATTTAGATTATTGTTATTTATTATCCGCGGTCTCGGTCTCGGTCTCGGACCATTTCGGTCTCGGTCTCGGTCCACCTTGAAGGGGCTGGTCTCGGTCTCGGTCTCGGTCTCGCAACTTCAGGTCTCGGTCTTGGTCTCGGTCTCGGACTATCCGGTCTCGACTACAACACTGGTACACAAACCTATGGAGAACTCGAAATGTTGTACTTTTTTTGTAAGTCTATTTGCATATCTGCGTTTGTATTCCATACCGGTGGTTATCGAAGCCAATACGCCAAAAACCGAAACACACGATCAGCAAATGAGCGTGTCATTTTGCTCTACGCTTTCACCATGGTCTATTATACACAGACTAGGGGGTACCCCGGGGGAACGGACATCCGCTGCCCCCCCCCCCGTAGTTACGCTACTGCATTTTCTTAATAAAGTTCTTCGTGTAGCACTTTCAAAATCTAGGATATGAAAGCCCAATTAATAAGCTTTTTGTAGTACAAGAATCATTCGAATCACTCAGGCACTTTTCAAGTTACGGAATTTTAAACACAACCCCCGTTTTAAAGTTCTGACCACGGATCACCACAAAAAAGTGTGTGTTCTTTCAGCAAAACGAAAACAATGCACACACATCCCTGTGCAAATTGTTTTCGTTTTGCTGAAAGAACACTTACTTTTTTGTACTTGAAAAGTACATATGATTTGAATGATTCTTCTACTAAAAGAAAGTTTATTAATTTGGCTTTTATATCATACATTTTTGATATTGCTACATGCAGAACTTTATTGAAATAAATTGGTCGTGCCATTTGGGTTTCCTTATTTATTTTTTTTACTCGCCCTGTATATATAGGGAAAAAATGAAATGAAAACGAAAGCAAATATATTTTTCGAGGTGAAACTCGAAAATAACACGGGAAACATGTATTTAATCTCACTAAATCCAAAAAGCCTACCTTGAGTATAAAGCCTGGCCCTGGGTGGGGCATGAGTAGGGAGGTTTCTGTAGAATGACGAAGCTGTGATGCTTTCATCCGGGATGCGACCATCTTCCATCCCAAGAGGTCCCTCCACGGAGCAAGGAGAGTCACCTGAGGAAAAGGTGCGATCGCTTTGAGAAGTTTTGTACAAAGTAACCATTAATATATTTTTTTAAAGAACATACAGTGAAATCTCGACAATACAAGTCAAACTCTGATAACTCAAAACCGTCAATCCATTCCCTTCAGTAGTATAACAATGATATACAACCCTGCTCAACTCAAAACTCTCCTGAAGTCAAATTTTGAACCTGTTCCCTTGAGGTTTGGCTTATCAAGATTTCACTGTAGTATTGGTCTATTTGCAAGTGAAAGTTCAACGGGGAAGAAAGAATCGTTTTCTTCCGTTTAATGGCACGAGTAGATAGTTTCGGATGCATAATTATGTGCCTCTTCCATCCTGCTCAACATTGAAAAACCAGAGCTTTGTCAATCCAAAGTGTGTGTCCTCTTCAGTAACAAGAGGACCCAAATGAGTTGCCTATAAAATATACCTATCACAAACATCTTGGGAAACATAAAGATCATATGCTTATTTATATTATAATTATTCTTCGACGGCTTACCAGGATTTCAATTACAGTAAAAACAAAAATCCCTTCAAGTGCTGCTTGTTGCATTAGCTTTGAGCCTTTGAAATGAAACAGTAACACAATCTCACCATTTCTTTTGAAGTATTTCAACTTCTCTTCGTTGACTGAAACGATCGAGTCATCGCTCAATTCACACCGTCTGGTATCTTTGGTATAACTGAAGTATTCGCAGTATTCTCCCTTGAGGCAGGCCGCGGCACACCTTAAGTAGGAGGCTCGTTGGCTTGACCGAATCACTCGATATTTGACGGTGCTGTTGAACTGTGAAACAGCCGTGAAATCCGAAGATTTCACGGTAGGGAGATTAGAGCCAGCTCCGCTCTGAACCACGCAGACAACAAAAAGAACGAGGCACCAAACAAGACGACAATGTCTTGGGTGATAAATAGGAAAATTCATTTCGTTTCGTTTAGGTTTGTTCAGCCATATAATACTCACATGTAGGCCACTTCGAAACTGTTTCAGATTGTGTTGCAAACAGCGAACGGCGAAAGATCGTATACTACGCTGGCAATATTAAAGGCACGAGTTTTATTGATCACCAAGTCACAATCGACAATAAACGGATGATTAAAGCCAGGCCCGTGGTAAAAAAAAAGCAATGACAATAGCTGCGCTGCTAATAGCTTTCTCGCACGCATAACGTGTTCCGGCATGCGCATTGTCACTGCTTGAAAAAAATGAAGGTCTTCAAAATAACTACTGAGACCTATTTATCTTGAAAACCTCCACACAAATATTGAAGAAGTCGACTTCAAGTTTGAATAGGCTTTGTCGTTCCTCTCGTTTACACTTAACTGGAGGAGATTGAATTCTAACGAAAGGAAGCAATAGTCAATCGGACATTTCGTTGACAAGCTGTATGGTTGTTTAAAGTTTGCATTTATTTACATGTCAAAAGGAAATACTGAGAAAAGGCCTTTAAAGTTTCGATTGTTTTGCAGTCGTGATGATAAAAGATATCATTTCTTGTTTACCTTTAAAACACTTTTTTTCACGATTTTATACCATTTATTTAAAAAATGTGTAGTAAACATATCAAAGATTGCAAATATCAATAAATAAACATCGAGAAAAAAATACCCCCATTGTTTGTGTGTTTTTTTTTGGGGGGGGTTTTGGTATATTTTTTTCCACTGCGGCTGTGCTCATGCCGTTTCCTCTTATTTTGCCAAAATGCCTCATAAATATTATGTTCGCAAAGAGGGGGAAGCCTTACACTTTAACCTTCTCCAGTTATTGGCAACATGAACGAGTTCCCATACCAGGGGCGGCGGAACGGGGGCGGGGGGCAGGGGGGAGGGGGCACTGCCAGATTTTCCCAAGTGCCGTCTTGCGGACATAAATGTGGCCCCTCGAGCATAAAACTCACATTTCGCATAATTTGTTTTCAATAACCATTTCCTAAAACCCTAACAATGCGCCCTGAAAATGGGCACATTATTCGTAGTTTGCATAATGGCCGGTTTTGAAGAGCGCCCCCTATTTTGGAAGATTGTACCAGCACCCCCCCCCCCCCCCCCCCACGCCACTATTTAATTTTACGGAGGCCAAGTGTCCGGTGAAAAAAAACTTGTCGACATTTCAGGACGGATGTGCAAAAAAATACCAAAAATGCTTGATACGCTGCTGCACCAGCGAAATATGCCTTTGTGCCCCTTTTTGGTGATGCCCCTCCCCGTTTTGAAACGTTCCACCGCCGCTGTCCCATAGGTATTTGAAGGCCTCGGCTTTATTGCTCAAAAATTAATTTCAGTTTAATACTTCACAACAAAAACACAAGGTATTATATAGTGAATCTTCATGCATTCGTGCATTTCACCGGTGACCGGTTTAAACACTTTTCTGCGGTGTTTAAACGATGGTTTAGAGCCAGCCACATGGCGATGCTCTTTACCAAAAAGAATGGAGAAACTACCATAATGTATAAATGAATGTTAAATAAAAGTAAGAAACAGCTTGACTTCACTTGACATTTTGGTTACTTTAAAAAGTTTATCACACAGTGAAATTTTAAATCAAACTACGTGTAGAGTTCGGAGTAGACCTACTGTTTTATGAAACATCAATCTCACCAGGCGTATTGTAACTACACAATTAATATAAAGATGGGTTTCAATTATCGATTCCTTTCGATATCGATTATTTCCAGTCCAGTTGTCGACTGATTAAATGCGATTAATAGCAGCCAATCACTTCAAACCTCATGCTGCAATAGTTGTGCCATGCAGATGGGTGAATGCGTAGGATTCTGGTGCGCAATGCCAATGGGAACCGAGCGGTTACCAACGTGCTTCTGTCTGAGTTACCAGCGAACTGCAACAAATCAAAATGGTTGACTTCTTTAGCGCACCCTGTCGAGCCAAGTTATTATCATTATTTTATTTGAAGGCAATACTTATTGTGACGGTAAATATTGCTACATGGCAAGAAAATGGGATTTTTTTATCACTCGAACCGAGTTATCAGTGTAAGGATTTACTCAATTTTATTATTTAAGACACAAACGTCACCTCCTAACTTTCGATTGGTTTGAGAGATTTTAACCAAGAAAACAGGGTTTTCCAAAGATTCTCTTGTTGAACCGACGTCATTCAAAGGGCAAATCTTCTGAAGTCAAATCCGGAGTTGAAGTCGAGATTTGAAAATTCACAACACTATTTCAACAATGAATCCTTTACCTTTATTTGTCTGCCAAACGCATCAGTCACGTGATCCCAGGACTGAGCGTCATCGCTGTACGACACTTGGTACTCCGTCACCCGTTGGTCGTATTCGGAGTCTCCGCGCCCCTGGGTGATCAAACCAGTGATGGTGGCAGTACCATTGAAGTCAACCTGTATCCATGGACTGTCTTCATATCCGCCATAGCACCAGGCTGCAGCATATTCTATTCAACACCATAAAAGATACTAGGGCAGTAAATCTGGCTCCAATATGAAGTTGTTTAACCACAGTCCCATTATCTGCGAACCATCGCTATAGTCGACCATAATTATAGACCAGTCGAAGTCGACTATTCGGGACCAGCCCATACCGAGTAGTCTGAGTATCAAACGTCCTACAACGGAACCCTTTCCGTATCGAACATGTGATATATTTGAGCAATGCAAATTTTATGCGACCCCACACGCCAGCCAATCGGAGTCGACTTTAGAAATTGGGACGTCAGTCGGATCAGAAATGTGGAATAAGCTATTGATTGGTCAATTTGGATGACATGTTTTTGTAATACAGCAACGGGTTACGGTTTCGAGTGTCCCTCTGAAAATTGCAATGCATTTTGCGCATAAATTAATACCCCCCCCCCTGCAAAAGCCGATTTATTATTTTACAGCTTATCATTCGAATTATGTGAAGAAATAATTTAATCATACGTCGGTGGATTTCAAAAGTGAATAACTTGTTTACTGCTAAAAACAAATGAAATGAAAGAGCGAAAATTTTTTTCGGTGAAACTCGAAAATAACACTGGAAGTGTAGATTGAATGTCAAATTAAACAAACCTACCTTGAGTATAAAGTCTGGCCTTGAGTGGGCCATGATCAGCTTGGTTTTTCCAAACAGACGAAGCTGTGATGCTTTCATCCGGGATGCGACCATCTTCCATCCCAAGAGGTCCCTCCACGGAGCAAGGACAGTCTCCTGAGGAAAAGGTGCGATAGTTGTGAGAGGTTTTGTACAAAATAACCATAACAAAACACCAACATAATCTATTTGCCAAGTAAACGTTAAACGAGGGGGGGGGGGGTAGTTGTATTCGGTTTAAAGTGGCACGAGCAGAAAGTTTGGCACGAGGACGAGCAGAAAGTGCCTCTCTCAACCCGCTCAACAATGAAAAACCAGAACTTTGTAAATCCAAAGTGTGTTCTCTTTTGAGTAAAAGGAGCACCCAAAAGAGTTCCCTGCAAATTGGACTCTCCGTACACAATCATCTTGGGAACCACTAAAGATGAATGCTTTTTTATTACAAAATGTGTTTCGACGGCTAATACAGGGTGTACATGTATAATAAAGGGAAACCCGATGCAAATCTAATAAAATATTCTAATAAATATTCTATAAACATCATAAAAAATATAGTAATTGTTTTCAAATAAGTTAAAGATCATGTGAAACGCCAATGTGTCCTCTTTCCAATGATACCTCGAATGCGTGTCTGTGGCTACGATTGACTGAGCATTCGTTATTATTCTGTCAAGGGTCAACACCTGCACTGGGCCAAGTTTGTGCAAAAGGGTAACTGGTATTCTCGGCATGTGGATCGGTTTAATTTAAAGAAAGAAATCCTCCTCTTTAAAACCATCTATTTAATTTTGACACAGCGATTTGACCATTCTCAGTTGTGAAGTTTAATAACCCATAATGGCCAATGCCTTCAACGTGGCCGTCACCTCTTTCCACACAAAGCTCTGCACGAAGTCTAGTCCATTTCAACCTTTGCATAACAAACCAGCAAGCAATCTTAGCTAGGTAAAACTTAACCCAGTGCAGGTTTTGACCCTTGACAGAATAACAAGGAATGCTCAGCCATCCGTGGCCAAAGACACGCAATCAAGGTGTCATTGGAAAGAGGACACATCGGCGTTTCACATCTTTAACTTATTTGAAAATAATTATTTTTTATTTTTTAATTTACATTTACATCTGGGTTTCCTTTTTTTGATACACCCTGTGTATAAAGATTTCAATTACACTTGAAACAAATCTCTCAAGGATCATTTACTCATCATGTAATTTATTCGATTTCAATTAATAACACCACTCAAAACCAAAAGAAGTCTTTTGAAAACCTAACCTGTTGAAGTTTCAGCTCAGTGGATATTACACTTTTCAAGAAAACAGTGGAAAACCATACACAACCTTTTGATTACGAAAAACCATTTCGTTTATTATCTCTTTCATTTTCGAAAGATCTGTCAATAATTGACTGATCGGTGGAAATCAACTACATTTCTTGACTTCTTCTAAATGAAAGCAATCCAGCAGACGAAATAATTTCACAGAGTGTTTAGAACCGGTACAATCTTTGATCCAGGTATATAGCTTTTTGATAAAAATACTGTAATAATTCTTTGGATAAATGCAAATTTCCCTATGTAAATGTGCCTTTCAAGTTCAGTAAGTTGTATAAGCTTTGAAATGAAATAACACCACAATAAGAAGGTCTTACCATTTCTTTTGAAGTATTTCAACTTCTCTTTGTTGACTGACACGATCGAGTCATCGCTCAATTCACAGCGTCTGGTGTCTTTGGTATAACTAAAGTAGCTGCAGTCTTCTTCCTTGAGGCAGGCCGCGGCACACCTTAAGTAGGAGGCTCGTTGGCTTGACCGAATCACTCGATATTTGACGGTGCTGTTAAACTGTGAAACAGCCGTGAAATCCGAAGATTTCACGGTAGGGAGATTAGAGCCAGCTCCGCTCTGAACCACGCAGACAACCAAAAGAACGAGGCACCAAACAAGACGACAATGTCTTGGGTGACAAATAGGAAAACTCATTTCGTTTCGTTTAGGTTTGTTCAGCCATATAATACCCACATGTAGCTACTTCGAAACTGTTTCAGATTGTGTTGCGAACAGCGAACGGCGAAAGATCGTATACTACGCTGGCAATAATTAAAGGCACGAGTATATTATTGATCACCAAGTCACAATCGCCAATAAACGGATAATTAAGGCCAGGCCCATGGTAAATTAACGCAATGACAAAAGCTGCGCTGCTAATAGCTTTCTCGCACGCATAACGTGCTCCGCCTGCTCCGGTGTGACAGGTAATTCTGTCCCCCCTGGTAAATGTGTCCCCCGGACACATTTACCGGCTCGTGACCAGGTAAATGTGTCCGGGGGGACACTTTTACCTAGGTAAATTTGTCCCTCTCCAGGTAAAAATGTCCCCCTGCCCAACGGTGAAAGTGTTCCCCTGGTAAATGTGTCCCCATGCAGTATGTACTGAGAGCAGCAGCGTGTCGCACGCGCCAGTACATGCTGCAAGATTTGAGGCAGTGATTATAACATGTGTACAAATGCGTCTCCCTCTACAATGGAAATTCGTCCAATAGGAAATTTCGTTACGCGCTATGATGGGAACACAGACCAATCCAAGGAGACGTTGTATCATACTATCAATGATACGAGGGCCATCGCCATGCATCGCCGCTGTGTTGACCTATCGCGGTAGAATCACGATAGACTTCACCGTACTCCGAATCGAAACATTGTGTTCACGTATCATCTAATAGACTAAATTAATTATTTTTTATATTCATGAAGGGCAGACTAAAAGTCCAAAAATGTATACCTTGTAGAGTGAATTCATCAAAACAATAACATTCTGGGTTTCAAAAGAGGGGGACACAAAAACCTGGGGGACAGAATTACCTGGAGGGGACATAATTACCTGGAAGGGGGACAGAATTAACGGGCCACGGAGGACACTTTTACCTAGGTAATTCTGTCCCCCCCCGGACACTTTTACCGGGGGACAGAATTACCTTTCACACCGGCATGCGAATTTTCACTGTTTGAATAAAATGCAGGTCTTCAAAATATTTACTGAGACATATTTATCTTGAAAACCTACACACAAATAATGAAGAAGTCGACTTCAAGTTTGTATTGTCATTGTTGTTCTTCTCGTTTGCACTTAACTGGAGGAGATTGAATTCTAACGAAAGATATTAACGGCACGCGTATTTGTCGCTTATACCAAGTCACATTCGTATACATAACTGCGTTCGGAACGTTGAGAGTTTCCAACTAATGTCTTTTGGCGAAATGGCTCATGTAATTGATTTTTTTTTCAGCGCAATCTACTTAAGCATCCTTGTGCTCCTTGTAATTAATTTTAAAGGTTTTCCGGAGACCTTTATTGCTAATAGTAATAATCATTCCAATATACATGTATTCCTGAGCAACATGTCATTAGGCAGACGGAATCTTCATTGTTACAGCTGTTTCAGGCAGACGGAATCTTCAGTGTTACAGCTGTTTCAGCATTGAAAGCTACCAGAATTTCAGAACGATAACCGTCGTCAACTTGCTGTCTTTGGTGTCTCGTTGTTAAGTTCATGACAGTGAGTCACTCGAGCAAACTTAATGCACAAATTAATGTTCAATATGAGCCCAATTTGGTTAATGACTGTATGCTATAAAAGTCACCAACAACTGTAAAGTGCACCTACCTGAAGTGAGAACAACTTAAGATCCTGTCGATCGGGCCTAATGTTAAGAGTTTAGGGCGGGGAAGCACAGAGAGGGTTGGGTCATGGATCCTACACACAAGGTGTGATAACGGCCCGTACTGGTGGCAAATACCATGAATACTTGTCAACAAAGGAAAACCTCTGCGCTGCGCGCGGCGGCTTTCGGATTTGCAGGGCTCTGCGTCCGATCCGGTGTCGAAGTCTGTCAAGCCAGCTGATTATATTTTTCAATATTTATGAGTCAGTAGTGGAGGGGGACTTCTTAGTACGGTTTGACCTTGGGCATAGAAATATGTAAAGGTCACATAAATATGTAAATATGAAAATATGTAGATATAAATATTAATTAAGGGATGTGGAAATTGTTAACACAGTTTGACCTAATGAATGGATGGGATGAATAGGGAATAGGTGTGGGTATAAGGAACCGGGTACAGTTTGACCAATTATATGGGAAAGATTGTATAAGGTATGGAAAAAAATATATATATTTTTATGGTACATTTGGATCTTAGCCCGAATATGAGTTTCATACGTTAGTCCCTGTGAACGATCAGCTGGTCGGATCTTTAATCCCCCAACAATAGACGGGAGAGGGCGCGTGCCAAGTCAGCGCACTAGTATTGTTACGAAGTTAATCCGATCGATACAAAAAGTAATTGCATTTCCGAATGCTCGACAGCAGAAAGCAGCGATAGATGGCAAAAATGAATGTTGCGTTGATCAGACTGAAACGAGTACGATTGTCTATTTGAAGACTTATTTTAAAGTCATTTTTATTGGGTTTATGGGTATTGTGCACGTTGCGTTTTCCAAGGTATAAACAAACACTCACCGCAGCATACTTGCAGGGTACAACCTGTGTCGGCCATGGGGGTATATGATAAATCCACGATCCATAATCCATGCGTCTGTACGGAGACCGGTGGTCGATCACCCCTCGATGATCGCACCGATCCTGGAGCAAATAAATACCGATCCTGGAGCAAATAAATAACTCCGTCCGTGCTCATCCTACTCTATGCCGTAGAGTAGGATGAGCAGGGAAAAGAGTAGGATGAGCAGGGAAAAGAGTAGGATGAGCAGGGAAAAGAGTAGGATGAGCAGGGAAAAGAGTAGGATGAGCAGGGAAAAGAGTAGGGTGAGCAGGGAAAAGAGTAGGATGAGTAGGGAAAAGAGTAGGATGAGCAGGAGAAAAGAGTAGGATGAACAGGGAAAAGAGTAGGATGAGCAGGGAAAAGAGTGGGATGAGCACGGTAAAGAGTAGGATGAGCACGGTAAAGAGTAGGATGAGCACGAAAAAGAGTAGGATGAGCAGAAAAAAGAGTAGGATGAGCGGGGAAAAGAGTAGGATGAGCAGGAAAAAGAGTAGGATGAGCAGAAAAAAGAGTAGGATGAGCAGGGAAAAAAGTAGGATGAGCAGGAAAAAGAGTAGGATGAGCAGGGAAAAGAGTAGGATGAGCAGGGAAAAGAGTAGGATGAGCAGGGAAAAGAGTAGGATGAGCAGGGAAAAGAGTAGGATGAGCAGGGAAAAGAGTAGGATGAGCAGGGAAAAGAGTAGGATGAGCAGGGAAAAGAGTAGGATGAGCAGGGAAAAGAGTAGGATGAGCAGGGAAAAGAGTAGGATGAGCACGGTAAAGAGTAGGATGAGCAGGGAAAAGAGTAGGATGAGCAGGGAATTAAGAGCGCACAGGCACGCAGAGAGCATGCGCAGGGGGGGGGGGGATGTGGAAATGAGCTCAAACAGACAGGTCTCGGCACAATATATATTAAACCAATTCATCCGTTTCTTGTCATTCGTGAATCAGCCTTTATAACTTCAACATGAATACTTTTTCTGCAGTCAAACCCCATGCTTGTAACCAGTGTGATAAAAGCTTTGGACGGAGATATAATCTCTGGCGACATACCGAAAACGCTCATGCTGAAGATGAATCTGAAATGAATGGGGTTAAAGGGAAAATACAACATTTGCAAACATCAAAAAATAAAACTACCAAATCATTTTGAAATACCTTGCTGGACTGGTAGTGAATGACAGTGTAAAGCATCCTGTAAAATCATGGCACCTGGTATACTGTCATTTTCAAGAAAATTGTATTTTTGTATCAATTTCCAACGCTGATCGGCCAATCAGCGTTGGAAAAAAACTGGCTTTTTTTCAAATACTGGCCCCAGTTGACCATCGCACTTGTTTGCAATCGATTACACACCTATGAACGGGTACAAGCCAGCTAGACTGGTTCCCTGACCTTACAATTCCCCAATGTATGTAAACTGCTCTGTTTCTTCTTATATGGAGTCAGGGAACCAGACTACAGGAAAATGATTGTGTTTCTTGGTTTTTATAGCATTTTTGAACCCAAAACCTCAAAAAAGTCAGTGTATATATTTGCTATATATTTCCAATCCCCCAATTCCATCCATTTCTGAAAATTACAGCAAAAGCAAATGATGTATATTCCCTTTAACGATGATTCTGAAATTGAGGTTATTCAATCTGATCATCCTGACGTGGATGAATCGGGCTCTGAAACGGACTCGGAGGTAGAAGATGACGATGAAGATGAGTCTAGTTCTGAATTAGAAGACAATGCTACTTTCCAAGACTGGTTGGAAGAGTCCAAAGAAGCGACTCGTGAAATGTGGAGCGAAAAACATGAAAAGTACATCAACGAGGGTATAGGTGAAGATCAGGCCAAGGAAAAGGCCGATAGGAAGACCCTCTGGGCAGTCAAGCAAATCTTTTTTGACAAGTACAAGGATTTTCTGTCCAGCTACCTACATCTGAAAGATAACGATACTCATCAAGATATTGTGGACAATCTCAAAGAAAAAATTTATAAGGGCATTAGCGTACAAAAGGCTCTCGGCAGAATTATGCCTAAACACCAAATGAAATTTGACGGACTTTTCCATCAAGATGAAGAAGACGTCAGCGAGAAAGACAGTGATGATTAAAGACTAGTAGTCAACATTACAATGACGATATAATTGCGGCAAAATACATTGGGATAGACAAATAAAAACACGAGTGTTTTAATGAGAAATGACGTCAATAAAGCAATTAATGTCATAACGTATATACTAATTTCTGCAGTTGTATTTTTCTTTGTTTGTGTTGTCTTATCAATCGGAAAAGCCTACTCTCAGTCATAAAATTAGTGCTGGACACGCCCTCTAAATAACCCCCGTAAAATACTCGTAAATGAAAACCAGTCATCCATGATTTTGTAAACAAATCCGGCCCGGAGGTACAACTAAGGTTAAAGTGGCACCGTTTTTCCCGTCGAACGCCAATCCCCCCCCCCCCCACCCCCCTGAATGTTTAACTATAGATAGGCTATAGCTTGGTTTTGGGGTCGTTCTAGTACGAAATATTATAAAATGCACAGTTGTAAAGGATGGTTGTGTTATTCCGATACACTAGCTCAATCGGGCACTTTCCAGGCCATAGTTCCCTTTAAAAACCACATGCCCGCACGTTTTGTTATGGCTTTAAACCACTGAATCCATTCCTTATTGTACGCGCCTCTGCAATAGAGCCTAATCGATAATTTAGCCGTCACGGTTTAAGAAAACTTGAGCGCTATCTGATCGGACGGCGTGTATACAGTAGTGTGCATGTGTACTAGCAATTGCTCTGGCTGATGCCAAAACCTTCCCTTTTCTACGATCACCGCGCACAGACATATATTTTTACTTGGATGATTCTGGTGGCAGTGTAGAAGAGTGCCATTGGTATTGTATCGATTAACAAGAGGAATATAGGCGCACGGACGGATTTTTTTATTTGCTCCAGGATCGGTGCGATCATCGAGGGGTGATCGACCACCGGTCTCTGTACAGACGCATGGATTATGGATCGTGGATTTATCATATACCCCCATGGCCGACACAGGTTGTACCCTGCAAGTATGCTGCGGTGAGTGTTTGTTTATACCTTGGAAAACGCAACGTGCACAATACCCATAAACCCAATAAAAATGACTTTAAAATAAGTCTTCAAATAGACAATCGTACTCGTTTCAGTCTGATCAACGCAACATTCATTTTTGCCATCTATCGCTGCTTTCTGCTGTCGAGCATTCGGAAATCCAATTACTTTTTGTATCGATCGGATTAACTTCGTAACAATACTAGTGCGCTGACTTGGCACACGCCCTCTCCCGTCTATTGTTGGGGGATTAAAAATTAAAAATCCGACCAGCTGGTCGTTCACAGGGACTAACGTATGAAACTCATATTCGGGCTAAGATCCAAATGTACCATAAAAATATATATTTTTTTTTCCATACCTTATACAATCTTTCCCATATAATTGGTCAAACTGTACCCGGTTCCTTATACCCACACCTATTCCCTATTCATCCCATCCATTCATTAGGTCAAACTGTGTTAACAATTTCCACATCCCTTAATTAATATTTATATCTACATATTTTCATATTTACATATTTATGTGACCTTTACATAATTCTATGCCCAAGGTCAAACCGTACTAAGAAGTCCCCCTCCACTACTTGAGTCTACCTTTTGATTGAATGCTGATAAGTAATAACTACATAACCATGTTAACGCCGAGCACAATATCTTTAGCTTTAAAATGAACTATGAAATGTCGCATTTGTTTTATCGGTTCGGGACCACATCTCTCTCACACTTTTTAATGAAAGCCGAATTAACAACGAAATTTAGGTAAACGGTGTTCTCCTCGAAATTTGACGATTATTTTCCGGGTAAATACTTCATCTATGACGACAAAAACTGCACAATACCATCTGTTATATCCTAAAGTACATATTTTTTTTTACAATTTCGGAACTTACATAACGCGTAGTTTTGCTCACAGTTTTATGAGTTTTAAAAAATTAAGTCCCCTTTCCCTTACATTTATTTACAGGTAAATTACAGCCGTACTTTTTACAACAAACAGGGAGAAAAAAACAGCTATAACATGATAATTTGTACGTTGGTACCTTGCACCTAAGGCCAACTCCTTCCAATTTAAGAGAACGTTAGCCGACGTTGTGTTTGCGGGCAAGGTGGCGCTACTAAGCTTACTAGACGGCGCGTGGAAAGCGGTGAAGCTGGTCATGTCGGCCGCTTTTTTGTCTTTCAAAAGACATAAAAAAATTGCTTTATTATATAACAAAAATTATGTTCTTTTTTAAACTGAACACAAAGGGGACAAAACTATAATTATATAAATGAGTGCTATTTAAAAGTTAGAAAAAGCTTGACTTCACTTGACATTTTTTGTTACTTTTAAAAGTTTATCCTGCAGTGACATTTTAAATCAAACTACGTGTAGAGTTCGGAGTAGACCTACTGTTTTATGAAACATCAATCTCACCAGGCGTATTGTAACTACACAATTAATATAAAGATGGGTTTCAATTATCGATTCCTTTCGATATCGATTATTTCCAGTCGACTAATTCAATGTGATTAATAGCAGCCAATCACTTCAAACCTCATGCTGCAATGGTTGTGCCATGCAGTGGGGTGAATGCGCAGGATTCTGGTGCGCAATGCCAATGGGAACCGAGCGGTTACCAACGTGCTCCTGTCCGAGTTACCAGCGAACTGCAACAAATCAAAATGGTTGACTTGTTTAACGCACCCTGTCGAGCCAAGTTATTATCATTATTGTATTCAAGGACTACTTATTGTGACGGTAAATATTGCCGCTCAGCAAGATAATGGGATTTTTTTCATCACTATAGAACCGAGTTATCTGTGCTACGGTTTTACTCCATTTTATTAAAGACACAAGCTTCACCTCCCAAATTTCGAGATATTTTAACCGAGATAAGCAGGGTTTTCCAAACATCGGCTTTCTCCCCGGCTTCGGGACCCTCTCTTGCTCCTGAATCATAATAAAATCGAATTCTTACATGAGTATTTGGTGTTCATATTTTGGGACTTGTTGAACCGACGTCATTCAAGGGGCAAGTTTTCTGCAGCAATGTCCGGAGTTGAAGCCGAGATTTGAAAAACCACGAAACTATTTAACAGTGATTACTATACCTTTATTTGGGTGCCAAACGCATCAGTCACGTGATCCCAGGACTGAGCGTCATCACTGTACGACACTTGGTACTCTGTCACCCATTGGTTGTAATGGTCACCACGCCCCTGGGTGATCAAACCAGTGATGGTGACTGTACCATTGAAGTCAACCTGTATCCATGGACTGTCTTCAGATTCGTCATAGCACCAGGCTGCAGCGAATCCTGTTCAACAAAATAACTGACTTTATAACACCTCATCCACAGATTCTGTGTCTTGATTGGCCGATAGCGAGTCACATGGTACTTTCTATTTTTGCTATTTTTCTGTGCACGGCCAAAAGTACTTTACCCGTGGCAACCAAAGTACTACCATAATGGCAACCAAAGTACTATCCGGTTCGTAAGTGTGACGTCATCTCAACTTAACCATGCGTACTTGTACTTCACATTGTGAGCATAGCACGAACGGAACCGGTGTCATATGAAAATCGGACTCGTATCAAAATCGGACTCTTTTTCCCTTTTATTGGTTAAACCCTCTCACGTGACCGGTGGTTCGCGCGTGTGTATGACGTTTTACTAACAACCGGAGAGAGTACCGAAGTGAATATACATCACTTGCACAATAATTGTGTGTGTAAAAGACGTTAGCGCGCAACCTCGTCCCCAGTGCTTTCATTATTTTTAACCTCGTTTCCAATAGTAAGCCCTGGATAGGAAACTTTCTTCCTGTATCCTGATTCGTTGCCGCAATTTGCTAATAATGAATTTATATCGTGTAGTTGGTGTTTCCAACATGCATTACGTGTTTTGACGATCATTGTAATTATAACGTCCGCGCCTTCTCAACAATACTCCTTTTCTTTCCAGTTTGCTCATATAGTAATATGATATTTGATACTGCATATTGGCGGGCCAGATTGTAACATTTTAACTTCCAAAAAATCGTGTTTTCATAACTCACGGCGCGACGAATTGATGCTGTTTTTACCGCAGACACCGCATACAAAAAGAAACGCTAATGTAACGCACATGCAGGTACCAGACTATTCCTCATTTGCATACGTGAGCGAAAATCTTGCACACACGGATCCAATACCAGGGTGATAGAGCAGGTAGTGGTGGGCGCGTACTGCTCGACACCCTGGGGACGAGGTTGATTAGCGTGTGATTCAGCCCGTGAACCAACACGCGCACGTACTCCATTCGTTTGCACGCACTACACTTCCCGGTTCAAAATGACTTCACAATTCAGTACTCAATACCCATGGCGCGGTACTACATGGCCAAAGAAGGTCACAATAAAGAACTCTACAAGAAACCAACGAGATCTCTTGGAGTAAGGCCATTACCAGGAGACGTCTTAGGTGGACAGGCCATGTCCTGAGACTGCATGAGGAGCACCTGCAAGCGCTTCTAGAAGCGATCCGCAAGAACAATTAGCTGCCAAGAGGTGGATAACGAACCACGTGGTTGAATACAGTAAACACGGACCTGACAACCACGGGGGTCAATATCAAAGATCAACACACCTGGCATGTGGCATCAGACAGTGCGCAGTGGAGGACACTTACAGAGTGCGTGTCATATCTACTTCACGCAAGCTCCTGGATGATGGCGCGGTATTATATGTGTGTGCAAATGCTGGTGTGCGCGTTGAGCGCAGCGCATTATTGTTCCCAAAAGAGCGCACCACTGAGTTAGGTTCAAACATTTCATGAAGGGGGTGGTTTGGAAGAGAGAAATACATTTCCCACCAATTTTGTAATGAAATTGAAGTTTATTTTAACTGTGTTCAGATTTAAATAATTTAAAATATTAAAACCAAGAATCTGTGGGTGAAGTGTTTAAAACAAATATTGAATGCTTTATCTCGTGGTGAAGTTAAACTAGCCCCCTTCGGTGATCCATGGAGCATTTTATTTTATGGATCACCTTGGGAGGCTAGTTTTACTCATAGAGCTATATTAAATTACTCAAGCGCTAACTCATGTACAAAGTGATGCCTGCTGGGCGCATCCATGTTTGTACACAAACCTATGGAGAACTCGAAATTTTGTACGTTTTTATGTAAGTCTATTTGCATATCTGCGTTTGTATTCCATACCAGTGCGTTATCGAAGCCAATACGCCCAATACCGAAACACACGATCAGCAAATGAGCGTGTCATTTTGCTCTACGCTTTCACCATGGTCTTCTATACACAGACTAGGGGGCACCCCGGGGGAACGGACATCCGCTGCCCCCCCCCCCCCCCCCCCCGTAGTTACGCTACTGCATTTTCTTAATAAACTTCTTCGTGTAGCACTTTCAAAATCTAGGATATGAAAGCCCAATTAATAAGCTTTTTGTAGTACAAGAATCATTCGAATCACTTAGGCACTTTTCAAGTTACGGAATTTTAAACACAACCCCCGTTTTAAAGTTCTGACCACGGATCACCACAAAAAAAGTGTGTGTTCTTTCAGCAAAACGAAAACAATGCATACACATCCCTATGCAAATTGTTTTCGTTTTGCTGAAAGAACACTTACTTTTTGGTACTTGAAAAGTACATATGATTTGAATGATTCTTCTACTAAAACAAAGCTTATTAATTTGGCTTTTATATCCTACATTTTTGATAGTGCTACATGCAGAACTTTATTGAAATAAATTGGTCGTGCCATTTGGGTTTCCTTATTTATTTGTTGACTCGCCCTGTATATATAGGGAAAAAATGAAATGAAAACGAAAGCAAATATATTTTTTGAGGTGAAACTCGAAAACAACACGGGAAACATGTATTTAATCTCACTAAATCCAAAAAGCCTACCTTGAGTATAAAGCCTGGCCCTGGGTGGGGCATAAGTAGGGTGGTTTCTATAGAATGACGAAGCTGTGATGCTTTCATCCGGGATGCGACCATCTTCCATCCCAAGAGGTCCCTCCACGGAGCAAGGAGAGTCACCTGAGGAAAAGGTGCGATCGCTTTGAGAAGTTTTGTACAAAGTAACCATTACTATTTTTTTAAAAGAACATACAGTGAAATCTCGACAAGTCACACTCTGATAACTCAAAACCGTCAATCCATTGCCTTCAGTAGTAGGCTATAACAATGATATTAAACAACCCTGCTCAACTCAAAACTATGCGGAAGTCAAATTTTGAACCTGTTTCCTTAAGGTTTGGCTTATCCAGATTTCACTGTATTATTGGTCTGTTTGCAAAGTGAAAGTTCAACGGGGAAGAAAGAATCGTTTTCTTCCGCTTAATGGCACGAGTAGATAGTTTCGGATGCATATGTGCCTCTTCCATCCTGCTCAACATTGAAAAACCAGAGCTTTGTAAATCCAAAGTCTGTGTCCTCTTCAGTAACAAGAGGACCCAAATGAGTTGCCTGTATATACCTATCACAAACATCTTGGGAAACATAAAGATCACATGCTTATTAATATTATAACTATTCTTCGACGGCTTACCAGGATTTCAATTACAGTCAAAACAAAAATCCAAGTGCTGCTTGTTGCATTAGCTTTGAGCCTTTGAAATGAAACAGTAACACAATCTCACCATTTCTTTTGAAGTATTTCAACTTCTCTTCGTTGACTGAAACGATCGAGTCATCGCTCAATTCACACCGTCTGGTATCTTTGGTATAACCGAAGTATTTGCAGTCTTCTTCCTTGAGGCAGGCCGCGGCACACCTTAGGTAGGAGGCACGTTGGCTTGACCGAATCACTCGATATTTGACGGTGCTGTTGAACTGTGAAGCCGTGAAATTCGAAGATTTCACGGTAGGGAGATCAGAGCCAGCTCCGCTCTGAACCACGCAGACAACAACAAGAACGAGGCACCAAACAAGACGACAATGTCTTGGTTGACAAAAAGGAAAATTCATTTCGTTTCGTTTAGGTTTTTTCAGCCATATAATACTCACATGTAGCTACTTCGAAACTGTTTTAGATTGTGTTGCGAACAGCGAACGGCGAAAGATCGTATACCACGCTGGCAATAATTAAAGGCAAGAGTATTATTGATCACCAAGTCACAATCGACAATAAACGGATGATTAAGGCCAGGCCCATGGTAAATTACCGCAATGACAAAAGCTGCGCTGCTAATAGCTTTCTCGCACGCATAACGTGCTCCGGCATGCGCATTGTTACTGCGTGAAAAAAAATTAAGGTCTCCAAAATAATTACTGAGACCTATTTATCTTTAAAACCTACACACAAATATTGAAGAAGTCGACTTCAAGTTTGTATTGGCATTGTCGTTCCTCTCGTTTACACTTAACTGGAGGAGACTGAATTCTAATGAAAGATATCAACGGTTATACCAAGTCACATTCCTATACATAACTGCGTTCGGTACGTTGAGAGTTTCCAACTAATGTCTTTTGGCGAAATGGCTCATGTAATTGTTTTTTTTTTTCTTCAGCGCAATCCACTTAATGCATCCTTGTGCTCCTTGTAATTAATTTTAATGGTTTTCCGGAGACCTTTATTGCTAATAGTAATAATCATTCCAATACATGTAGGCATGAGCAACATGTCATTAGGCAGACGGAGTCTTCAGTGTCACAGCTGTTTCAGCCTTGAAAGCTACCAGAATTTCAGGACGATTGCCGTGGTCAACTTGCTGTCTTTGGTGTCTCGTTGTTAAGTACATGACAGTGAGTCACTCGAGCAAACTTAATGCACAAATTAATGTACAATATGAGCCCAATTTGGTTAATAACTGTATGCTATAAAAGTCACTATCAACTGTAAAGTGCACCCACCTGAAGTGATATCACGGTAAAACGCCCTCGTTTACACTTAACTGGAGGAGATTGAATTCTAACGAAAGATAGTAACGGCACGCGTATTTGGCGCTTATACCAAGTCACATTCCTATACATAACTGCGTTCGGTACGTTGAGAGTTTCAGCTAATGTCTTTTGGCGAAATGGCTCATGTAATTGATTTTTTTTCCCAGCGCAATCCACTTAATGCATCCTTGTGCTCCTTGTAATTAATTTTAAAGGTTTTCCGGAGACCTTTATTGCTAATAGTAATAATCATTCCAATACATGTATTCCTGAGCAACATGTTATTAGGCAGACGGAATCTTCAGTGTTACAGCTGTTTCAGCATTGAAAGCTACCGGAATTTCAGGACGATTGCCGTGGTCAACTTGCTGTCTTTGGTGTCTCGTTGTTAAGTACATGACAGTGAGGCACTCGAGCAAACTTAATGCACAAATTAATGTACAATATGAGCCCAATTTGGTTAATAACTGTATGCTATGAAAGTCACTAACAACTGTAAAGTGCACCTACCTGAAGTGAGAACAACTTAAGATCCTGTCGATCGGGCCTAATGTTAAGAGGTTAGGGCGGGGAAGCACAGAGGGGGTTGGGTCATGGATCCTACACACAAGGATTAACGACTATGCGCGATAACGGCCCGTACTGGTGGCAAATACCATGAATACTTGTCAACAAAGGAAAACCTCTGCGCTGCGCGCGGCGGCTTTCAGATTTGCAGGGCTCTGCCTCCGATCTGGTGTCGAAGTCTGTCAAGCCAGCTGATTATATTTTTCAATATTGATGAGTCTAACTTTTGATTGAATTCTGATAAATAATAACTACATAACCATGTTAACGCCGAGCACAATATCTTTAGCTTTAAAATGAACTATGAAATGTCGCATTTGTTTTATCGGTTCGGGACCACATCTCTCTCACACTTTTTAATGAAAGCCGAATTAACAACGAAATTTGGGTAAACGGTGTTCTCCTCTAAATTTGACGTTTATTTCCTGGGTAAGTACTTCATCTATGACGACAAAAACTGCACAGTACCATCTATTATATCCTGAAGTACATATTTTTTTTACAATTTTGGAACTTACATAACGAGTAGTTTTGCTCACAGTTTTATGAGTTTTAAAATATTATGTCCCCTTCCCTTACATTTATTTACAGGCAAATTACAGCCGTACTTTTAACAACAAACAGGGAGAAATGAACAGCTATAACATGATCATTTGTACGTTGGTACCATGTACCTCAGGCCAACTCCTTCCAATTTACGAGAACGATAGTCGTGGAGTTTGCGGGCAAGGTGGCGCTACTAAGCTTACTAGACGGCGCGTGGAAAGCGACGAAGCTGGTCATGTCGGCCACTTTTTTGTCATTCAAAAGATGGTTTTCAAAAGACATAAAAAATTGCTTTATTATATAACAAAAAATATGTTCTTTTTTAAACTGAACACAAAGGGGACAAAACCATAATTTGTTGTCCTGAGTGAGTGGCCACGTTTATCATTGGCCGATTTAAACACTTTTCTCCGGTGTTTAAACGATTGTTTATAGCCAGCCATATGGCGCTGCTCTTTACCAATAAGAACTATCATATATATAAATGGATGCTAATTAAAAAGTTAGAAAAAGCTTCACTTCACTTGACATTTTTTGTTACTTTTAAAAGTTTATCATACAGTGAAATTTTAAATCAAACTACGTGTAGAGCTCGGAGTAGACCTACTGTTTTATGAAACATCAATCTCACCAGGCGTATTATAACTACAAAATTAGTAAAAAGATGGGTTTCAATTATCGATTCCTTTCGATATCGATTATTTCCTGTCCAGTTATCGACTAATTCAAAGTGATTAATAGCAGCCAATCACTTCAAACCTCATGCTGCAATGCTTGTTCCATGCAGTGGGGTGAATGCGCAGGATTCTGGTGCGCAATGCCAATGGGAACCGTGCGGTTACCAACGTGTTCCTGTCCGAGTTACCAGCGAACTGCAACAAATCAAAATGGTTGACTTGTTTAGCGCACCCTGTCGTGCCAAGTTATTATCATTATTGTATTCGAGGACTACTTATTGTGATGGTAAATATTGCTGCACAGCAAGAAAATGGGATTTTGTTCATCACCATAGAACCGAGTTATCTGTGCTACGGTTTTACTCCATTTTGTTATTAAAGACACAAGCTAACCTCCCAAATTTCGATTGGTCTGAGATATTTTAACCGAGATAAGCAGGGTTTTCCAAACATCGGCTTTCTCCCCAGCTTCGGGTCCCTCTCTTGCTCCTGAATCATAATAAAACCTTATAATATCGAATTCTTACATGAGTATTTGGTGTTCATATTTTGGACTTGTTGAACCGACGTCATTCAAGGGGCAAGTCTTCTGCAGCCATGTCCGGAGTTGAAGTCGAGATTTGAAAAACCACGAAACTATTTAACAGTGATTACTATACCTTTATTTGTGTGCCAAACGCATCAGTCACTTGATCCCAGGACTGAGCGTCATCACTGTACGACACCTGGTGCTCCGTCACCCATTGGTTGAATCGGTCACCACGCCCCTGGGTGATCAAACCAGTGATGGTGACTGTACCATTGACGTCAACCTGTATCCATGGACTGTCTTCAGATCCGTCATAGCACCAGGCTGCAGCTGATCCTGTTCAACAAAATAACTGACTTTATAACACCTCATCCACAGATTCTGTGTCTTGATTGGCCGATAGCGAGTCACATGGTACCTTCTATTTTTGCTATTTTTCTGTGCACGGCCAATAGAAGTATACCCGTGACAACCAAAGTACTACCATTATGGCAAACAAAGTACTATCCGGTTCGTAAGTGTGACGTCATCTCAACTTTAGCCAATGGGCGCTTGTAATCAGTGGTTCGCGCGTGTGTATGACGCTTTACTAACAACTGGAGAGAGTACCGAAGTGAATACATCACGTGCATAATTTTTGGGTGTGTAAAAGACATTAGCGCGCAACCTCGTCCCCAGTGCTTTCTTTATTTCCAACCTTGTTTCCAATAGTAAGCCCTGGATAGGAAACTTTCTTCCTGTATCCTGATTCGTTGCCGCAATTTGCTAATAAAGAATTTATATCGTGTAGTTGGCGTTTCCAACATGCATTACGTGTTTTCACGATCATTGCAATTATAACGTCCACGCCTTCTCAATAATACTCCTTTTCTTTCCATTTTGCTCATAGTAATATGATATGTGATACTGCATGTTGGCGGGCCAGATTGTAGCATTTTAACTTCCAAAAAATGGTGTTTTCATAACTCAAGGCGCGACGAATTGATGCTGTTTTTACCCCAGACACCGCATACAAAAACAAACATTAATGTAACGCACATGCAGGTACCAGACTATTCCTCATTTGCATACGTGTGCAAAAATCTTGCACATACAAATGATCCAATACCAGGGTGAGAGAGCAGGTAGTGGTGGGCGCGTACTGCTCGACACCCTGGGGACGAGGTTGATTAGCGCGTGATTCAACCCGTGAACTAGCCTTTAGTCAAGTCCCACGCGCTTACCCGGAAACGTGACGCAACCCGGATGCTGAGACGTAAAAAGACTAGCGGGGGTGGGGGGGGGGGCGAAGCCGCGAGGGCCTTTACCATCTCGTGTAGTTTTTTTTTTTTTTTTACATTTGTCTACCGATTTGGTAGACATGCATAATGCATTACCCGTTGTGAATTGACCAATGAAAATGCAGAATTACTAACGTAAATTAGCCGTCGTCTGGCGCCAGACAGCACGCACGCCATGGCGCGCGTGCTGTTGCTGGTAACCGCAAACCACCGTTAGATGATTGGTTTATATTGCTTGATTTATATTACGTGAATAAATGAATGAGTGATTAGTCCACGAGATAGTAAAGGCCCTCGTTCGCTCGTACCCCCCGCCCTGCAAACAGGACGCTTGGATACTCTGATGAGCTTCACAGAATCTTGTGAAGGAAGTGGTCTATGACCTGTGTATAAAGCATCTGGCTGCAGCTGTTCAAGACCGCAGTTAGACAATATGCGCAAATGCTATCCGTAAACTTCCTATAGAATTGCGCACATTCCATACCGGATGTGATTTCTGTTTCATTGCGGACCATGTGGACAAAATTTTGAGCGTCGCATAATGCAATCCGACCGTTCGTGAGTCGAAACGGAGCCTGAGCAAGTGGCGGGAATTG